GGTTACAGTTAACTCTTTCATTTGTTTGTAAATGTACTTAATCACCTGCCACTTTTCCTCAGTAGTGGTTCTGAAAGTCACCCTCGCAGCCGCCTCCCCCACCACTGACCAGCCACTCTTATTAGATCTGAAGGAAGGGGCTGGCAGGAATATTTTGGAATCGCTCACCACTTCCTGGAGAGCCCCTGCTCCAAGGAGCTTGAAAGACTTGACGTGGATGTTAACTGCCTTACCATGAACTCTTAACCTATTTTACAGCTGGAGGAAACTGATCACTGTTCAATGACTCTTAACAATTCTGGGGGCCAGCCCTCATCCCAACTACATGGACAGTCCCCTTCCCCCCAAAGGAATTCACTTCAAGGACAACACTGAAGCTACAGCTCAGGAAGAGGGACATGTCTGGTGAGAGCACACAGGAGCAAACAAAGGGGGAGGGAGAGAGAGCGGAGCACATCCTGGCCCACTAAGCCCCAAGGACGATATTCCTGCTCAGAGCAGCCAATGCACAGAGGACCATAGGGCCGGCCCCACCACAAGACACAACGTCCCTCACTGACCCATAGCGCTACTGGGGACAGCACTGGAAACAGTGCAGGAATTGTGCCTGATCTGACCCCACGACACCAAAGCAAAACACAAAGGGCATGCAACAGAGCAATGAAGGGAGCAGAGCAATGAGATCCCCAGGGAACACCAGAAATAGACTGTGGGGTCAGACTCGACTGGGAAACACTCCTAAAGGTCAACCATCAGATCTTGAACTATTTATAGACTTTGCCTTTTTTATCATTTTTTCTTGTTATTGTTGTTATAGTTTTTCTTTTGCTGCTTTGTTTTTCTCTGTCTTGTTTTTGTGTTTATTGTTGTCTCTGCGTGTCTATCTAGCTAAGAGGCAGGATAAACAATCCAGAGGAGAAAACAACAGGATTGATGGTTCCAGTTTCGGGGGGACACGGGAGAGGAGGAGGCAGGGGAAAAGGAGTGGGTATAACAAATGCAGGGACAAGAGAACAAGAAGTGATCTAAAATTAATGGCAAGGAGGATGTAGAAGGCCTGGTAGAGATTGATCAAGGGCACTGTACCTGAGAGAAATTACTGAAACCCAAATGAAGGCTGAACATGACAGTGGGACAAGAGGAAACTAAAAGGAAGTAGAGGAAAGAACTAGGAGGCAAAGGACACCTATAGAGGTCTAAATATAGGCAGGTACATATGTAAATATATTTATATATGATGATATGAAAACAGATCTATGTACTTACAGGTTTAGTATTATGGTAACGGATGGACATTGGGCCTCTACTCAAGTATTCCCTCAATGCAAGAACACTTTGTTCTAATAACCTGGCATTCCATCATGCTCACCTTCCCAACACGATTGCTGAAGACAGAGTGCATAAGCAAATGTGAAGAAAGCTGATGGTGCCCGGCTATCAAAAGATATAGCATCTGGGGTCTTAAAAGCTCAAAGATAAACAAGCAACCATCTAGCTGAGAAGCAACAAAGCCCACATGGAAGAAGCACACCAGACTGTGTGATCATGACGTGTCAATGGGATCAGGTATCAGGCATCAAAGACCCAGAACAAAAAAATCATATCATTGTGAATGAGGGGGAGTGCGGAATGGAGACCCAAAGCCCATCTGTAGGCAATTGGACATCCCCTTACAGAAGAATCATGGGAAGGAGATGAGCCAGTCAGGGTGCAGTATAGGACCGCTGAAACATATAACTTTCCTCTAGTTCTTCAATGCTTCCTCCCCCCACCCACTATTGTGACTCCAATTCTACCATACAAATCCGGCTAGGCCAGAACATGTACACGGGTACAGATAAAGAGCTAGGAATGCAGGGAGTGTAGGACAGATAAACCCCTCAGTTCCAATATTGAGAGTAGCGATACCAGGAGGGCAAGGGGAAGGTGAGGGGAGAAAGGGGAAACCCATCTATATATAACCCCCTCCAAGGGGGACAGACAACAGAAAAGTAGGTAATGGGAAACACCGGTCAGGGTAAGACATGAAAAAATAATTTATAAACTATTAAGGGTTTGGGAGGGTGGGGAAGAGGGGGGAAAATGAGAAGGTGATACCAAGGGCTCAAGTAGAAAATGTTTTGAAAATGATGCTGGCAACAATGGATGGATGTGTGGATTGTGATAAGAGTTGTACAAGCCCCCAATAAAATGATTTAAAAAAACCCCACAATTCTGGTGACATGTCTCTGGACTAATGAGTTAGTCTGGGTGGAGGAGAGAAACAAATTCAAAGACACTCATATGTGTGTAAGAAAGAACTTTATATACAAGAGTAATTGAATATTGAAAAACATCCTATCCCAGTCCAGATCAAGTTCGTAAGTCTAATATTAGTCCATATGTCCGATACCAATCTATAAATTCCTCTTCAGACTCACCCAACACATGCAATGACATTGAATGCAGGACGATCACAGGCCAGTGGGTGGAAAGTCTTGACGATCCAGTGGCGGTGGAAGCATCTCAGCCCTGACAGAGGTCTCCGTGTGACTCCTCCAGCTCCAGGGCGTTAGCATAGCTCCCTGTGCCTTCTCAACAGGAATGTCTCACAGGGAGTGTCCTAGTGTCCCACCTCCAGGGAGCCATTTATCTCCTTAGTGGCTCCAAATGAGGTCATCAAGCTGCAACCTGATTGACAGGCTAAGCTCCCCCCTCCCTTCACTCTTAAAAGTCTCAATGTTGACACCAGATTACGTAACTACCACAGCTAGCACAAGCTATTGCTTGGCTGCTAACGGAAAGTTCAGGGACAGTTACAACCTACCAGCTGCTTCATGGCAGAAAGAAGTGGCTGTCTGTTTCCGTAAAGATTACAATCTTAGAAACCCTTTGGAGCCCTAGCAGGTTGCTAAGAGATGGAATCCACTTGGAGGCAATGGGTTTTGGGTCTTGGTCCCTAGAATGGCAGGTAGACCAACCCCCCCACCCCAGACCAGACTTTTATTGTTTAAAACAGAGTGGATGAAAAAAATAAAATAAATTAAAAAAACCAGAGTGGATGGATCCCAAGCCCTTTCCCGCAAGGTCTTTCTTTGGAGGTCAGCCCTAGATCTTGAATGCTAAGGTGAGGCCATCACTCAGGGGCAGGAGACTGATATGGACTCTTGTGTCCCATAGGACACCCTCGTTCAGATTGCACGCACACTGGGCCTCGGTGTCCCCCTGCTGAGGCTGCAGCACTTCTCCGTGCCCCAGGACCCTGAGAATGGCTAGGATGCCTTCAGGTCACAGCAGCTGGAGGCACCTCGTACTAGGCTGCACAGTTCTCCTTCTCCGCATCCACCACCACCAGGTCGACGTTGCCGGCTTCTCCCGCAGCTCCAGGGCAGGCTTCAGACAGAGGTCGAGCTTGTGCTCCTCACCTGTCTCCACAGGGGCCGCCCCAGTTCCGGGCCTCCAGCGTCTACCTTGCAGGTCACCACGGGTCCAACGGGGGCAGAGCCAGTGCCAGAGCCGAGTAGGCCGTGAAAGTGCCCAGATCCAGCGCCTTCTTGGCCTTGATGAGCCGTGCCAGGTTGGCCAGAAGTTGGGCCTGCTCACAGGTGATCATAATGGCTGCTCCAGGGTCAGCAGTCCCAGGCTCCGAAGCAAGCGCCGGATGCTCCCGCATGGAGCGGCTCAGCAGGTACTGCCACAGGGGGCTGTCCGCCAGAGGCAGGCCCAGGGCCAGCGCGGTGGGCATGGAGAAGCGTGGCACAGGCTGGGTTATGGCGCGGGCAGGAGGCAGAGAAAAAGAGGAAGCTCTGAGAGGCCTAAGAGGCAGGGAAGCAACAACAAAGGGGTTTATACTGGAAGAAAGGTATCCAGCGAAGCAACATCTCCAAAAAGGGTAATATTATAAACAAGATCTGGGGTACTATGTTGCAAGGAGGGAAGTCATCAATTGGTTGGGGCTGAAAATATAAAAATGGGGGTGAGGGCCAAGTAGCCAATATAATCTTAGCTACTCAAAGTAAGAAATAGTTAGAAAGGCAGGCTTTTGCCCTTCTCCCTGCCTTGTTATTGTAGGAAGATGTCACTGAAGGTCCTGAAAAATGCAGTTTTGACTCACGTCAACCCCACGTGAGTAGAACATCCCCATAGCATCTCCAGGCTGTAATCTTTATGTGAACAGACCACCAGGGCTCTCCCACGGAGCAACTGGGTGGGTTAGAACCACTGGCTCTTCAGTCAGCAGCCACGTGCTGAACTGCTATGCCACCCGGGATATTGAAATACAATGAGTTTTTTTTTAATGTGACCTTCGGGTGTCTTACATCCTTGTATGCTTATTAAAACTTAGCCTGTATTGGGGAGGGGGGGGCAGACCATAAGCTCCAAGGGCCTTTGAAATTGAAGTGCTATCAATACTGAAGCAGCAGCTCGTTTAACTAGGAGTATCTTCCTAGTGCAAATTTTCTTCACCTAGAAACACGTGCCTTGGAGTCAAGTACCAGGCTTCTACTTAAAGCGAGGCTGGACCATGTTAAAAAACGCAGAACTAGGCAACTAGCCAAGTCCACCCTTCACACAGCTGGGCCGGGTCTGGAGCCGCCCAAGGCCTTGGGCAGCTCTGAGCCACCAGGAAGGAAGGACTTCATAAGAAAGTCAGGTGGGGTTACGCCCGGGGGAGAGCTGCAATTATCTCAGTCCGTGTGGCAGCCCTAAGTGGCCTTCGACCTCTGACCCCGCGCCTTGCTCGGCGTTTCCGGGCGAAGCTTCCTCTCCCGCTTGGCCAGCGAAGGGCCGGCTCACGGAGTGTAGGCGGGGCCTTGAGACGGGCGGTTAGGGGTGGTGCCTGTTGGGGGCGGGTCTCGCGAGGGGCGGGATTTGATGAGGCAGCCTAGCATTGGGCTGCTAGATGTAGGCGGGGCCTAGCCCGAGCTGGGTAGGGCGGGGCACGGAGTTAGTTGCATCCCCCACCTCAGGCAAACGGGGCGCCAGTAGCCCAACTTGCGGGGGCCGGGGGCGGCCTGCGGGCGGGCAGCAGATCCCGGATCCGGAATTTCCACTATAGGAGCGGAATCAGGATCGGCCCTGGCCCAAACCGGGTTCAGGGAGCAGCTCACGAACTTGGATTTGGAAATCCCGGAACCCGGATTATTAGAACCCGGAATTTAGACCGGAAAATCACGGAGCTCGGATCGCGGAGCGGATTCGGTGCGAAGCCCGGAGTCCGGATCACAACACTGCGGGACGGGACGGAGCGATGTCTGGTCGTGGCGCGGGCGGGTTCCCGCTGCCCCCACTGAGTCCCGGCGGTGGCGCCGTGGCCGCGGCCTTAGGGGCGCCGCCACCCCCCGCGGGACCCGGCATGTTGCCCGGACCGGCGCTCAGGGGACCAGGGCCGGCTGGAGGCGTGGGGGGCCCCGGGGCCGCCGCCTTCCGTCCCATGGGGCCCACGGGCCCCGCAGCGCCATACCAGGTGAGGAGGCGGCTGGGCGGGCGGGGCCGCGCGGCCGCCGCGGGCCAGGGCCCGAGGGCCGTCTAGTGAGGGCCCGAGGAGCTTCCTGGGCAGAGGGCGCCGGGCCCTGAGCTCGCATGGCGACGTCGCGGGCGAGCCCAGGGGCCCCCAGGCTGCGGCTGGCTGGTGGGTGGCGTTGCGTGGAGAGAGGAAGAGAGTCTCTGAGGTGTGGAGGCTTTGAAGCCGTGCTTGGTCCCGTCGAGGAGCCCCGACTTGGCTGCCACCCGGAAAGCTGAAGGTTCGAACCCACCCGCTGCGCTGTGGGCGAAGGCTGACAGCTCGGAACCGCGCGAGGCGCTTCCACACTGCCCCGCAGGGTCTCAGGGTCAGAATCGCTCGCCTCCTTGGCAGACGATTAGTGGTGAATTGTTTTTATTTTTTTTTTTGCAGGGGGCATGTGGCAGGGATTCCGAGGAGCTGAGACCTGGGGTGTGGGACTGAGAAGTCTAGTTAGTGCCCGCGGTGGTGGTGGTGGTGGTGTTGGGGGGGGGGCCTGGGAAGCGATGAGGAAGTTTTGGCAAAGGGGGCTCTCGGGGGCCCTCGCCGACGAGCGGGAGTTCTCCGGCACCCACCCACCCACCGGCCTATCCAGGGTCCGCCCTGGTTTTTCCAGGCCCGGACTGGGAGCGTTTCGCGTGCCCTGTCCCGTTGGCCCGTTGTTATTCCGAGATGGCTCCCAGCTGCTAATGAGGAAGAGCCTGGCAGAGGACAGAGCCAGGGGTCCCACCCACGGAGAGGGAGACTACTCCCAGGCCAGGTCCCAGAGCGCTGCATGGGCGACTGGACGGGAGCAGAGACGGTGGTGGCCGGACTGAGGAAGACGAGGAGTCCAACTCCAGTACAGACCATCGGGCCAACTCTGCCCTTGGCAATGTGCCTGTTGTCATAGTGTCCAGGAGTTGATTAATCTGGAGGCTCCACTGAGCCCTGCCGGCCTGGGGCTGGAGGAGCCCGGGAGGGGCTGGGGGAGTTGTTTCAAAGGACCCCCTGCTGCACCAACGACCTCTGGAGTCTGGGAGGAGAATTGCTCAGGCCAGTCCTTAGGGTCAGTGCGTGAGGAACTCCGCCTGGCCTTGCAAAGGGGACTCATCCAACCCGGGGTCTGTTGTTTCTGGTGGCTCCAGAATGCAGGGGAATTGTGTCCGGCCTTCTTCTGGCCCCCTTCTCCACTGTCATTTAGCTCTCAGTTCTCACGTGCCCCACCATTCAACACTGGCCTGCACTGGGATCTCCCTCGGTCCTCTCCTCCTGTCACCCTGCCGAGGTCCTCGAAATGGCCTCTCGTGGGCGGTGGTGGGATTCAAGTGATTGAACAACCAGTTCACTTGCCCTGATGACCAGTTTAAGGACCAAAAGGTAGTTATTATTTCAACATGGTATCAGAACACTGCTGTTGTGCAGATGAATGTTAAAAGGAAAATAAGAATGTAGCTCTGTGATTTCCACATGGGGCGTTGCCAGGTGCCCACCTTAGAGAGAGCCTGGATTGTGTAAGTGCCATTCTAATGGTCGGTGCGCCGGACTCAACAAAAAATTAGGCAACGTTCCGCTTCCCCGGCGCCAGCCGACTGAGTCCCATCACTGCTCACAGGGTAGTAGAGTGTGTGCAGGCCCTCACTTTCTAAAGAAATGCTTTACCAAGGACAGTGATTAATATTCCTCTTATGGTCTGGGTCTGGATAAAGATCCACCTGGTCCCAGTGCCTCCAGCGGGGGCCCATCTTTCCCACTTGGCCCTGCTCTTTGGGGATTCATGGACCCAGGTGTCCCTGAGGGGTGTCAGCATGGGCTGAGACCTGGACTCTGAGGTGGGCTTTTGGCCCAGGAGAGACATGGAGTCAGACAGGCGTGCACCCCGTGGGAAATGTGCCCTTGAGAAAGCCCTCTCTGGGGTCGATCTCAGGAGGAGGTTTTGTGGGGGAGTGGCCTTGGGACTGCAGAAGGTGGGGCTAGCTGGCTGGCTGGCTGACGTCCCAGGCTGTGTGGTGAACTTGGGAGAGCACTGGCCCTCTGCTCTTCAGACCTTCCCATCCCTCCTATAGCTGGGGAGAGGGTGACCCGGCCCCTCCTGGTGAGTTCACAAACAGGAGGGTTTGCTTCTTTCCAAGTGGGGTTGTCTGACCTCTTGCAGAGGGGTCTTGCAGTCTGAAGAACAAGAGGTGTTCTGTCAGGGCTCCTGAGGTGAACGGGAGGGCTTGGCCAGCAGGTGAAGGGCACCCACTGAAATGAGGAACCAGAAGAGCCATCTCCCTCGAGACACTTAGCTATGGCTCAGTCGGTGAGCAGAGGCGCTTCCCAACACCAAAGCCAGAAACGCACACACTGACACCCACCCACACCACCAATGGCTGGGTTCACTTCAGGGAGTTCGGAATAGTTTCTACTCATGGCAGGGCGGGTAGGGGGTGGTTCGTTCTTCTCTACCAATGAGGCCCACTGGCAAGGCCACCAGGAGCACTGGGACCACAGACATGGGACAGTGAAGAAAGTGTTCACCAGAGCCCTGGATCCCGCAACTGGGGGCCCACAACAGCAAGCTCTGCCTTCTCTCTGACTTTGTGCTGCTGCTGCTGCTGGAGTCAGGCTTACAATACGGGCTGGTGCTGGGCCAGAGGGAGATTACTGTACACATCTGGGGCTCAGGGGACGGAGTCAAATCTACCTAGCTGGGCTTGCAGGCAGGGGCTTATGGAGACTGAGAGCTGAAAATTCTTGCCTGTTAGTGGTTGGGTTTTTTTGGTTTTGTTTTTAATAAATAGCTGAGTGCATTTTTTTAAGGGGGGTGGGGTATGTTTTCAAGCCCAGGTGTGGAGCTTGGCAAGGCCAAGCTGGGAGTTGATGAGTGGGTTAGCACCTTTCCCCTGGGCACTGGGAGCCCTGGAAGACTGGAGCAGATGTCTGGGTGGAGCCTGGGCCTCCTGTTACCTGAACACCTGCCGCGGAGTGGGGCGGGGAGTGTTGTGACCACCCTAGTGAGGCAGGGGTGACAGAGTCCACTGTTTCTGTTCTTTCTCCCCTTGAGCTCTGACACTTAGAAGGACACAGGGCTGGGTTGTTAGGGACCTGAGTTTACAGCCGTGGCCACAGAGCAGTGTGTTTTCCATAATCTTGAGCCATGGCCCATTAAGGCAGAGAAACAGGCTGTCTTTGGCCTTTCAACAGCTCCGATGGACTTCTTCCTGATGGGGAGAGACCTGTGGCAGGCCCACAGCACACACACACCCTGCTCCCCCCCAGGACGCTGCCTCCCCCCCCCCCCCCCCCCCCCCCCCCCCCCCCCCCCCCCATGACTCACCCCCTTCCACACTGTTCCTCACTTCTCTACTTTTAGGAACCTGGGGCTAGGGTTTGATCAAGAGAGGGGTGAAGAAGGGCCTCCCATTGGGGGGGGGGGTCCTTTGAGTCAGGACTAGGCTCCACCCAGCCTGGCTTGGTTGGCTGGGGGTGCTGGTTGCATAATCTGAGCCCGAGGCCAGCCCTGCAAAGCTGCCAGGGACAGCATGTGCAAGGCAGAGCTGCCAAACAGGCCTTGCAGGCAGCCGCGGGAGGGGGTGGGGGGGTAAAGGGAAGCCAGATGGGTTCTGCAGACATGAACCTGGGGTGGGAAGCCCTACAGCCTTCCAAGGAGATGGCTTTACTCACCTGGCTTCCTGCTGCAGACCCTGTGTCTCTGGCCCTTCCCACCTCCTCCACGTTGGGATTGCAGGGTTAAGTTGAGTCTGAGCCAGTCCTTACTGCCAGGCGGTGCCTGGACCACGGGCAGAGGCCAGGTACTAACTACTCTTTCTCCTGGAGGCCACTCCGGAACCAAGGCATCCCTTTCAGGGTCTTCTGTCCTGGGAGGGAGGTGAGAGTGGGGCAATAGAGAGGTGAGAGAGAAAGGTGCGGTTGTGGGAAGGGGCCAGGTGGCGACCAGATGGTCTCAGGACTCTGGAGGCTGCCCCTGCCAATTGGAACACACACTCCAAGCCATCCTGTTGCAGCTTGCTCACCTGGGTGCCGCTGCTCAGGGACTTGCCAACCCCCTGGGCTGCCCTGCCCCCTCGGCCGCCCCACCGGGCTGGCGAAGGGTTGTGCGTGAGGCTCTGCTCGTGGCTCTCAGGGAAGCCTTGCCAAGGAGCAGCCTGCTCAGGCCCCATCCCATCACCCCACTCTGTCTCCCATTGGGGCAGAGAAGGATGGCATTGCCCAGGGGGCCATCCCAGGGCCTTGAGGCAAGCCAGTGAGGGGCCCTCCTCTGGCAGGCAGGATTCTCTTCCCACCCTGGGCTCTGGCAGGCCTGCTCCCACCTCATTCGCTGGTATTACCGCCAGGCGCCCAAAGGGGCGGGACAGGTGTGGTTTACGCTCCCTTTGTCTCCTTGCCTGGCACTCCAGCCTGGGTGCTGCAGTGTGCTGCTCGGGGAGGGATGGAGAGAGCGAGCTTTGGACCCCGGAGGGCCCTGCCACTGACCTACACCCCACCGGTGACTTACTTTCCCCAGCGGCCAGGCATGTCTCCAGGGAGCCGGATGCCCATGGCCGGCCTGCAGGTGGGACCGCCTGCCGGCTCCCCTTTTGGCACAGCTGCTCCACTTCGGCCTGGCATGCCACCCACCATGATGGATCCATTCCGAAAACGCCTGCTCGTGCCCCAGCCTCAGCCCCCGATGCCCGCCCAGCGCCGGGGGTAAGACTCACGTGCTCTCTTCCATACTCAGGACTGCATGACTGAGGGAGACTTTCAGGCTCTTTTGCGGGAGGGTCCAGGGCTGAAGTGGTGGGTAGAGGGGGGGAGGATGAGTACCCTTCTGCTGACATCTCAAGTGGGTTTTTGCCCTCCCAGGCTGAAGAGGAGGAAGATGGCGGATAAGGTTCTACCTCAGCGAGTGAGTGTGTTGAGAAGGGGCTCCAGGGAGGGCAGCTGGACAGATGGTTGGGAGTAGAAGGCCCACCTTCCCCAGCCCCAGGATGGGGGAGGAAGGAGCCAGATCTCTGGCTGATGAATCCCTCTGCCCTTCCTTCCTCAAGATCCGGGAGCTTGTCCCCGAGTCTCAGGCGTACATGGATCTCTTGGCTTTTGAGCGGAAGCTGGACCAAACCATTGCTCGCAAGCGGATGGAGATCCAGGAGGCCATCAAAAAGCCCCTGACGGTACGCGCTGCCTTCTCTGTCCCCCGACCCTGCTGTGAGGACCACGCCGGGGTCTGTGTTGAGCTAGCACAGCATTTTTCACTCTTCAAGACACAGTCCACACTGAGGCTGGGACTCAGTGTAATGTGTTGGGGCCAGCTTTTTTAAAAAAGTGATTTTACTGTAATTTAAAAAAATGAATTATACTACAAAATAATAGCAAATACTTAACATGTAGTAACTAAAACCTAGCCCTAACCCACTGCTTCCAAGTTGAGTGCAACTCATAGCATCTCTCTAGGGCAGAACTGACCCCTTGAATTTCTGAGGCTGTTAAGTGTTCACAGGAGCAAACTGCCTCATCTTTCAGAGTGGTGGTGACCTCGAACAGCTGACCTCTGGGCTAGCAGTTTAACACATAACCCACTATTCCACCAGGGCTTTTTGTTTTCCACTGTAGCAAAGGTAGATGGTGTTTCATGAGCTTTTGACTGCAGATATATGCTGTATATGGATGCTGGGGTATTATTGAAAGTGTCTCTCCTGTGGGCTCTGGTCCAAAGTGAGAAAGCTACCAGCCAAGAGGGTAGGTCAGGGTAGTTCCTGTCTCCATCATCCACTTATTTTTGTTTTAAATAAAAACCATCATCATCTTGCACACTCCCTAGAATGATAAAAGCTTTCCAGGAAGCCCACATACCTAGGGCTGTGATGAGTGTTTGGGTGTCATTTAAAATAGGAGGTGGAAGCTTCTGGTTTGCCCAATAGCTATGTGTTGTGCCACAAACCCCTTTGTTTCAGAATTGCCAGTAATGCCACGATTTCACCCAGAACCCTGTGAGCACCTTCCAGGCTGGGCTGGGGCATTCCTGCTTCCAGCTCCAGCCCTCAGGGCTTAGCCAGGGGCTGCCGTTGTCGGCCTAGGATTGCTTGTTTGTCTACTGGTTCCCAGTGTGCTCCACCTGGAGTTACCGGTCCTTCTCTCTTCAGCAAAAGCGGAAGCTTCGCATCTATATTTCCAACACCTTCAGTCCCAGCAAAGCTGATGGTGACAATGCAGGAACTACAGGGACCCCCGGGGGAACCCCGGCAGGGGACAAGGTGGCTTCCTGGGAGCTCCGAGTGGAGGGCAAACTGCTGGATGATGTGAGTTGGGGAAGTGGGTGTCTGGAGGGGAGGTGACCTAGGTGGGCTTCCCTGGGGACCAGCCAGTGAACCAGTGGCAGAGAAGCCCTGCCGTGGGGAGGGCAGTGTTCCTGCTGTGCTTCCCGCCAGCTAGAGGTTGGTTGGTTTGGTTGTTACCCCCACTGCCTGCAGGTAGGCAGTAAAGTGACTTGAGGACAGGGTACCCAGTCTAACGTCACCGTGTGTGTCAGGGGCGGGAGCTTCAGGTTGCCAGGATTGCCTGGGTTACTTGAACCTCCACCCTCTCACTTAGCAGCTCTACATGTTTTGTGCCCTCCTGGGGGGACATCTCCTATGTGGCGGGGCTCCCAACTCCCTTGGGGGAGTGGTGCTTGGGAGCCGTTGCCTCCTCTCCTGTCCTGCGCTGACTGCAGTGCCCTGCCTCTAGGGCAGAAGCGAGACACCGCCTGTTTGGAGCTTCTCCCAGCTTTGGGTTTGAGGGACCCCTAAAAGGGAGCATGGCAATAATGCCCCGTCTCTCCTCCCCGTTCTTCCCCCAGCCTAGCAAACAGAAAAGGAAGTTTTCTTCCTTCTTTAAGAGCCTGGTCATCGAGCTAGACAAGGAGCTGTATGGGCCCGACAACCACCTGGTGGAGGTGAGTGCAGGGCGTGGAGAGGCAGGGCTGAGGGTGCTGAGAGCACGCACCCCAAGACGGACCCTGCACGTTGTCACGCCCACTCCCTCTTGCCTGCCAGTGGCACCGGATGCCCACCACCCAGGAGACAGATGGCTTCCAGGTGAAGCGGCCTGGAGACCTCAATGTCAAGTGTACCCTCCTGCTCATGCTGGATCATCAGGTGATGCACTCTGGGTCCTGTCTGCCCTGCCCTTCCACTTCCCTTTCTTCACAAAGACCCTCATCTGATTCCCCTCTCCTGTCCCCAGCCACCCCAGTACAAGTTGGACCCCCGACTGGCCAGGCTGCTGGGCGTGCACACGCAGACGAGGGCCGCCATCATGCAGGCCCTGTGGCTCTACATCAAACACAACCAGCTGCAGGACGGGCACGAGCGCGAGTACATCAACTGCAACCGCTACTTCCGCCAGGTGAGCCAGGAGCCGTCCCCACTGGATGCTCAGCCCAGCGCATGCCCCTGGTGCCCTCAGGGCGTCTCCCAGCCTTGGTACTCTATGCAGATCTTCAGTTGTGGGCGACTCCGTTTCTCTGAGATTCCCATGAAGCTGGCTGGGTTGCTGCAGCATCCAGACCCCATTGTCATCAACCACGTCATTAGGTAAACTGAGGGTGGGGCAGGGAGGGTTCTTCTAGAGCAGGACCACCCTGGCTTCATTGAAAGCCAGCCACACAGACGGTCAGGTTTCCTGTTGCCCAATGGTGCCCCAGACGGGCGTTTGGCCCTGCTGGGTGAATGGCTAGTTGCTTTTCCCCTCCCTGTGTGCTGCCTGCAGTGTGGACCCCAATGACCAAAAGAAAACCGCCTGCTATGACATTGATGTGGAGGTGGATGACCCACTGAAGGCCCAGATGAGCAATTTTCTGGCCTCTACGACCAACCAGCAGGAGATTGCCTCTCTTGACGTCAAGGTGGGGCCCCAAGACAGGGTGGTGGTGGGCTGGCTGCAAGCTAAGTCCCTACACTCTTACACCTTGTGGATGGGTGGGTCTTTGCTCCAGTCCTTTGACTTTCAGCCTGGGCAGTTTCCTTGGGGAAAATGACTCTTGCGTTCCCCTCAGATCCATGAGACCATTGAGTCCATCAACCAGTTGAAGACCCAGCGGGACTTCATGCTCAGCTTCAGCACCGACCCCCAGGACTTCATCCAGGAATGGCTCCGCTCCCAGCGCCGGGACCTCAAGGTGAGGTGCTCTTTCCGGAGGGTGGTCCACCCCCTGCTCCTGCCCTTTAGCTCCAGGGGCAGACTGGCTTGGGGTGTTCATTTTGCCATGGTTTTCCTCCCCCATCGGCAGATCATTACTGATGTGATTGGGAATCCGGAGGAGGAGAGACGAGCTGCTTTCTATCACCAGCCCTGGGCTCAAGAAGCAGTGGGGAGGCACATCTTTGCCAAGGTGAGACCCTGCCACCTCCCACCCCCTTCATGCAGAACTGATGTCTCAGGCCTGAGCTACTGTCACCCTCTCTTCTGCAGGTGCAGCAGCGCCGACAGGAACTGGAACAGGTGCTGGGGATCCGCCTGACCTAACTGCTCAGGGAGCCATCCTTCCCTGCTCTGAGCAGCCTTGGAAGGGGACCTCTGGGTCTTGGCTGGGGCTGTCCCCTACCCCCAAACATGTAGGATAAGGGTGGGGTGAGGAGTGTCTCCTGTCACCCTCTACTCCCGCCTTTAGTTTCATAAACGACGTAGTGGTAGGATTCCTTGTTGCTTGGGTCCCCAAAGCCTTATTACTTTATGCATCTGCTTTCCTTGGGTTCCTACAGATGCCTCTTCTGCCCTCTGCAGGCGGGCCCCAGAAGGACAGCTGAGGCAGTGCTAGGGCCATGTAACTGAGACATTTCCAAACCAAAGGCTGCTGGGTTTGCATGTTTACAGACTCCCCTTTGGGGCTCTTGGCAAGGAAGGGGGCACAAGCCCAGATGCTTCCGAGCCTTCCTAAACCAAAGTTCTTTGTCATTCCCTCAAGCCCAGCCTCACTGCTGGTTTTCTTCCTTTCCTTTGGGTATTTGCACTAATTGGGAAGCAGGTTTTTCTATGCGGGAGCCACTTTTTTTGTACAGGTTAAGTTGGGGGTGTTCAGGGAGCCCTTATCTGGTGCCTCCACCCATCTTCTTTCCTTAATCTATGCAAGCGGCTCTGGCCGCCATCATCTCCTGGGTGCCAGAGGGCTGTCACCCCAGCTGTTTGGGCCCAGGGAAATATTGCCTCGTAGGCAGAGGGGACAAGGTGGTGGAGGGGGAGGAGTGGGCCCAGGGCTTGGCAAGTGCCACTTCTGTTCTGGCAGGTTGGAAGTTTCTGAATAAACCCCTTTGTTTATCGCTGTTGCCAGACCCGTCATTGGACTGTGCGGTCGCGCTGAGCTGACAGATGCATCCTAGCAGGCTTGACCCACAAAGCTTTATTTGGGGGATCCACCCAGAGTGTGGCCACCTCACTTCCAGAGCTTCTTGATGGACATGTTCTTCTCGCTGTCCTTCTGCATGACCTGGACAGTGAGGGGATGAGGGATGTGGTTATGCACTGGGTGAATGCACACCCTGTCCCCACAGCTCCTGAGCCACCACGAGCACCGGGAGACAGGTGGGGGACATGTACCTTGGCTACTGCCATCTCGAAATCCTCCTGGGTGACGTGAACTCGCCGCTCCCGCAGGGCATACATGCCGGCTTCTGTGCACACGCCCTGGGCAGGGAGAGGAAGAGGGGCTGTTGCTTGGCCGCCGAGAATGACCCTGGGCCCCGAACGTCCTCAGGGGGCCTCCCATTTTCTGGTTACCTTCACTTCAGCCCCCGACGCTCCCGGCATGAGCTCAGCAATTTTCCTCAGGTTGATGCCCCGGGTCAGGTTCATTTTCCGAGAATGGATCTTCAGAATGTCCAGCCGGGCCTAGAGACCAGAGAGGAAGGGCCTGAGTCCCATCCCTCCACTCCTCTAACCCGAACCTCTCCCAGCACAACGTGGCAGCACAAACCTCCTCGTTGGGCGGTGGGAATTCAATTTTCCTGTCGATGCGCCCCGGCCGGAGCAATGCTGAGTCCAGGATGTCGATCCTGTTGGTGGCCATGATGACCTACACGGAAGAAGAGTGGGTGTGTGCCTGCCATCAGCCAAGCGCTCCCGTCCCGCTAGTCACCAAGGGCCCTCCCTGCGGTAGCCACCACCTGACCTTGATGTTCTTGGTGGCCTCAAAGCCGTCCAGCTGGTTGAGCAGCTCCAGCATGGTGCGCTGCACTTCGCTGTCCCCGCCTGAGCCCCCCTCCAGGCGGGAGGAGCCGATCGAGTCGATTTCATCCATGAAGATGATGGAGGGCGCGTGCTCCCGAGCCATCACGAACAGCTCTCTCACCATCCTGGCCCCTGTGTGCAGGACAGCGGGCTCAGAGCGCTGACCAGACCTTTGTCTCCCTCCACTCTCACCTCGCGTGAGTTCCTAGTCACTTACCTTCCCCAATGAATTTCTGTACCAATTCAGAGCCAGAGACGCGGATAAAGGTGCAGTCTGTGTGATGTGCCACTGCCCGGGCCAACAGCGTCTTCCCAGTGCCTGGGGGTCCGTACAGCAGCACTCCCTGTGGGGAAAGAGTGGGACTCAGGGCCCATAGCCAGCCCCTCATTTCCGTCCAGGGACACCCACCCCCACCCCCACCCCCGCCCATGCTGGATGCTAGGTACAAAAAAGTGAACGGCAAGTCCTTTCTGAAGCTTGTACCCAAAGCCCCCTTCCCTGGCAAGGACCAGTTGCAGTATCTCCTGACCTTCCTAAGCCCTCCGTGTGACCGGGGCTGGAGGGGCTTAGTCCTGTCCCCACAAGCCCAGGCCCTCACCTTGGGCTGTGCAATTCCCAAGGCTTCAAAGAGCTCCGGGTGCTTAACAGGCAGCTCGATCACTTCTTTGATCTCCTTGATCTGCTTGTCCAGCCCTCCAATCATCTCATAGGTTGAGTCTGGAACCTTCTCCACCATCATCAAGGACACCAGCGGGTCCACCTTGTTGGGCAGGATCTTGTGCAGAGTGTAACTGTCATTTCTGAGAGCCACCCGGCAATTGGGTGTCACCTGGGTGAGGACGCAGGGCAGTTTCAGAAGGTGGTGCGAGGGGAGCGGACCCTACCCCTCCCTCAGCCTCTGCACTCACGTCATTGATGTCGATGTTCTTGTCCACATCTACAACAAACTTGCCCTCAGGGTGTACCTAAAGGACACAGGGCACTGGGCTTTTCCTTACGGGCACCAGATCCCCGACCCCGTTCCGGAGAACCCGAGACCGTCGAGAAGGACGAGAGCACTTGGGGCTGGTCCCCGAGGTCCTGCTGCCTTTACCTTAACCAGCACCTTCTTCTTGTCCATGGCCCGGACCACCTCCCCCACGTAGGAGCCTTGTTCCTGCAACAGCTGTAGCTCCTCCCGCAACAGGCGAACTAGGTGGGGAAAAGCAGCCGTCACTGACCTCTCCCTGTGCCCCTCACCCACCCTCACCCAGTAAACATGAACTGAGCCCCATTTTGAAATTTTGAGGGGAGAACTATGCACATGCCAAACCTTGCCCTTGACAGGGTCATAATGCAGCACAGGAGAGAAAACGTGTGGAACAACTATGTAAGGACAAGGCAAACCGTAAGCCAGGGGTGGCATGAAAGGCCTGAGCCTCAGAAGTGCATGGCATCTCAAGCACCCTCCCCTCTAGCCCCCCACCCCCTGCCCCTCTCACCTTTTGCATTCAACTCATTCCTCTGCGCCTGTAGCCGCCGGAGATTTTGGCTCTTGTCATTCACGATCAGCTGTAGGAGGCAAGGGTCAGATTATGTTACCCAGGGCCACGATCCTTCACAGGTGGGTGTCAGCTGAGACTGGGAAGGGCACAGATCATCTGCTCATGGTCCAGGTTCTCCACTATGACCCTAGTTATCCTGTCCTCTCAGAGATGGGGAATGCCCAGCCCTCAAGCCACAGGCCCATGAAGCCATCAATGCCGGCTAGCATCACACTGCATCACCGAGAGCAGCAGCTCTTGCTGTCACACTAGAGGTGAGTTCCTTGACCAGGGTGGCCTGCAATTGATGCTAAATATCCCAATGGCCCCTGTTCTAGAGCATGGTTCTCAAACTTATTTGGCCTACCACCCACTTTTCAGAAAGTTAGTTGCTCAGTGCCTCCTGGCAGTTAAAATCTTTCATATTATGGGCCATAATCCAGGAGAGAGTGTAGGTAATCTGTTTCTGCAACCCCCTTGAACCATTCCAATGCCCCCCATGGGGGGCGGGGCGGTATTGCCCACTTTGGGAAACTGCTCTGGAACCTGTAACTCAAAGCTATCAAGCGATGCTGACTCAGCAACCCTGAAAAAAAGAAGAGAGCTACCCCGGTGAGTTTCCCAGACAGTAACTTTTTTTTTAAATTAATTAATTAATTAATTAATTTTTTAGCATTTTATTAGGGGCTCATACAACTGTTATCCCAATCCATACACACATCAATTGTGTAAAGCGCATTTGTACATCGTTTCTCAAAACATTTTCTCTCCACTTAAACCCCCGACATTAGGTCCTCATTTTTCCCCTTCCTCCCCGCTCCCCCCTCCCACATGAGCCCTTGATAGTTTATAAATGGGCATTTTGTCATATCTTGCCCTATCCGACGTCTCCCTTCACCCACTTTTCAGTTGTCTGTCCCCCAGGGAGAAGGTCACACACAGTTCCATGTAATCGGTTCCCTCTTTCCTACCCTTTCTCCCTTTACCCTCCCTGTTTTGCCACTCACACCACTGGTCCTATAGGGATCATCTGTCCTGGATTCCCTGTATTTCCAGTTCCTATCTGTACGACTGTAACTTTTTTACAGAGTCAAAAGCTTCATCTTTCTCCCTAGGAAGCGGCTGGTGGTTCTGAACTGCTGATCTTGTGGTTGGCAGCCAGATGTGTACCCACTATAGCAGCCACCTAAAAAGGCTGCTGGTCCAAGGCTGGCCCAGGAATAGCAAGAGCCCCTAATTAAAATTTTTTTAAAATGGTATAGCTGACTGATGTAGAGGATTTTCTGAGGGAAGGCAGCAGGGTGTCATGAGAAGCCTTCTAACTTTTAAAAAGCCTGAGTTCTAGGTAAAGCTAGGGCAAGCAACTTTAAAGCTCTGGTCCATTTCCAGACGGTTTCTTTTCTCATCGATGTGAGAAATAAAGAAAATCACACATAAAGGTATTTTTTAAAAGGGAGAATTCAAACATGTTGTTGATACCTGCAAATGAGCTCCAGAATTTTTCCTTGTGCTGCCTCCCCATCTAGAGGGTTTCCAGCTAGCTCCCTCTTCAGGCTACAGCACCCAAATGACATCTTTCCCACCCAGCCACACGGGATCAACAATGCCCAGTCCTTAGTGCTGCTGCGACCCCGCCCCTGAGAAATCTCAGTTCCTGAGCCTGTATTCTTTCCTTTGGTAAGAAACCCTCCTTCAGGCCTCTTCCAAAATGAATGCATGGGCTTCCCTTATTTGCAATCCTCAAGCTGTGCAATAAACCATCAACAGTGATTTCCCTCAAAGCAGTGAGGCTAGAGATAAACAAGAAACCACTCATTTCACGCACCTTGTATCACTACCCTCACAAACCATCAGAGTACGGTCCTTGTCAGGGAGACCCCCCCTTACCTGAAGCTCTTCAATCTTGGATAAATAATACTGGCGGAGTCCACTGCCGGCCTTGCCCTCTTCCAGCTCCATCTGGGGACACAGGGGTTGGGGAAAATAACAGACTCAACGTCCGAGAGGTGAGAGACCCTTCCCGGGCGCTTCACTACCCGCCAACGTTCTGTGTAAGCGCTCCCTCCCTCCGACTCTCGAGTGCTAGGGTTTGGATTCCGGCCCCTCGTTCCATCCTTGCGCGGGGCTACCACCAGAACGCCGTCTCCCTCGCCGAACTTCTCGCAGGGATCAAGAAAGGATGAACGCGGAGAGGCGTGTCGTACTGTCAGGCGCGGCACGAACTCGAGGTGGTCAGCTTGAAGCGGGGCCAGCTGGCCCCCCGGCGCCCTGGCCCCCTTGGACCTGGGACTCGCTCGCGGCCGGCGGCCCCCTCGCAGCCCTGCCCGGACGCACCGCGGGCGGCGCTGACACAGCAGATCCGGCCCAGCGGGGCCTGGTCTGGATCGGTCCACTCCCCGCGGCCGCCTGGCCCGCCCGCTCCCCGCCTCGGCCCGCGGCTGCTCCGCATCGAGCCCCGGGCGGGCTCCGGCCCCGCCGCCGCCATACCTGCTCGGGTCCGTCCAGCGCCATCTCCCTCTTTTCCGCGGAGGCCGCCGGCATTCGAGCCGACCCCAGACGCGCATGCGCAGCAGCAGGGGCGGGCTGCCCGAGGAAGCAGGCAGAGATCACTTCCGGGTCGCACGCCGGAAGTGCAAAGCCAGCGCTAACTCATAAGGGCCTTGGTGGGCGGGTGGCCACAGGATGCCAGAGCATTGGGAGGGGACCTGCAGGGCGGGGAGGGGACGACCTCCCCCCAAAAAGTTGCTCTCTAACTCGCTGTTTACGTCTTATACTCTGCCCTCCCGGTCCCAACTTTCAACTTGTAAAACCCGGGAATTTACTGCCACGCTCAAGATGGCGGAAATCTCACGTCGCGCCGCGTGGGGCGGAAGCGGAAGTGGGGCGGAAGCGGAAGTACGCTTGTTGCGTCCATGTGCCGCTCCTGGAGCGCTGAAAACGTTGTTGCTTAGCTCGCAGTGGGACAGGCAAAGCAGAATCTAGTGGCCTGGGCGGAACCATCGTCAAGTTCTCTTCCCCTCTCTCCAGTTTGAGTGACACCCCCCCATTTCCACCATGGGCAAGAAGGGCAAAGTTGGGAAGAGCCGGCGAGACAAGTTCTATCACTTGGCGAAGGAGACCGGTGAGCCTGGGCCCGGCCTCTCCCTTCTGGAACCGGGGGTGCCTCTTCTGCAGCAGGGGAGGTGGGGGGTTGAGAGGCGCCAGAGAAATCCTGCTGGCAAAGCGCTCAGCTGACTTGGTGGTTGTGCCGCCCCCCGCAGGCTACCGCTCCCGCTCAGCCTTCAAGCTGATCCAGCTCAATCGCCGCTTCCAGTTCCTGCAGAAAGCCCGCGCCTTGCTGGACCTGTGTGCTGCGCCGGGAGGCTGGTGCGTGAAGCCGGCTCAAGTGGCTCCTGCTGGGGATTTCTGGAGGCTGAGTTGCCGGGAGGGAAGAGTTCCCAGCCTGAAGTCAAGCACTACGCTGCTCCCCACCGAGCAGACTCTTCTCAGTTATAACGCTTGGTGGCTGTTGACTTCTTTCCTTGTCGGAAGTGGCTTGGAACGTGTACCTTCTGCCCGCTTCCCATGGCAGGGACACCCGGGCTTTTGAATGTTCAGGGAGGTGGAAAGGGTGGTCTGAGGCCTTTAAAACCCTTGTTTTACAGGTTGCAGGTGGCTGCCAAGTTTATGCCTGTGTCCAGTCTTATTGTGGGTGAGTGACAGGTGGTTTCCCAGGTATCTCAGAGTGTGGGGTACGAGATACTAGATTTGTCCACTCTTTTGTCCCCTCTGCTTGCGGAAAAACCCTTTGGCATCCTCTGATTTCTTCCAGGCGTGGACCTGGTTCCAATCAAACCTCTCCCCAATGTGGTGACACTCCAGGAGGACATCACAACTGAACACTGTCGACAGGTAATAGGAATTGCCCTGTTCCTGTCTGGTGTGTGCAGACATCCATGCCTCTCCAAGAGTCCCCCAAGGTTGTCCTAGTGATTCTGCCCTAAGCAGGACCCCTATAAGGAGTCAGTCTCTGAAACCCACAAGGGCAGTTCTACCCTGTCCTGTAGGGGCTCTAGACTTGATGGCAGCAAGAGAAGCAGGAGCCCTAGCGACACTGCTGGGTGTTAGACTAACCGAAAGTCCTGTCGGAGAAAGAGAGGCTGTGTGCTCTGTGTAGATTGACAACCCCCTATGTGATCGCTCACCGTCAGAATCAGCTTGTTGGCAGTAGTGCATTTAAGTAGGAACTAAGTAACTGGTGTCACAGTGGCGTAAGCATTCAGTGCTAACCAAGAGATTCATCGTTCAAGGCCACCCGCTGCTCCATGGGGAAAAGTTGAGGCAGTCTGCTTCCGAAAAGGTTCCCAGACTTGGAAGCCCTATGAGGCTATTCTACTCCAACTCTGGGGTATCTCCAGGTCCAAGTTGACTTGAGGGTAGTGGGTTTGGGGGCCTGCCATAGTGACTGCATGTCTGTCTGACAAGGCCCAGGTATTTCTAGTGTCCACTGTGTGGTGAGCGTCAAGGAACAGGTGCTGGGACTTAGGAGAAGGGCAGAGATCTTCGTCAATGAAGTTTTTTACTCGATGGGGTCGCTGGTAAGACTCTCTTCATGAAGACCAAAACCCAAGCAGATTCATGCTCATGGCATGCCTGTATACATATGGTTTCTGGCACTGTAAGTCTTTACTGGAGCAGACGGCTTAAGCTTTCTGCAGTGGCTGGTGGGTTTGAACCACCAACCTTGTGCCCAGTGCCTAACACAGTAGACAGGGTTATATTCTTCTTGTTAGGTAGATACACAACAAATGACTAGACCAGGGGCCGCATCCCTCACCATGCTGCTTGCTATTGCCATAATGTCTTCATCTCTGTAGGCCCTGAGGAAGGAGCTGAAGACCTGGAAGGTCGATGTTGTGCTCAATGATGGGGCTCCCAACGTCGGGGCCAGCTGGGCCCATGATGCTTACTCACAAGGTGCCTAGGGAGAGGGGACCTGACTTGGAGGGATCATGTTCACAGGGCGGCAGGGGGCCTCCGGTGACTGAGTCTCTCCCACAGCCCACCTGACGCTGATGGCTCTGCGTCTGGCTTGTGATTTTCTGGCTCGTGGCGGCTCGTTCATCACGAAGGTTTTCCGCTCCCGTGATTACCAGCCCCTGCTATGGATCTTCCAGCAGCTGTTCCGCCGGGTACAGGCCACCAAGCCCCAGGCCTCACGCCATGAGTCTGCAGAGATCTTTGTAGTCTGCCAGGGTGGGCACCACCTTCTTTCTCTCCCTTGACTCCCCTTTAGAACTGCCAAAGCACATTCTAAGAATCTACCTTATCTTAGGGTTCCTGGCGCCTGACAAGGTTGACAGTAAATTCTTTGACCCCAAGTTTGCCTTCAAAGAGGTTGAAGTTCAGACCAAGACCATTACTGAGTTGGTGACAAAGAAGAAGCCAAAGGTGTGTTTTGGGAGGGGGACCACCCTCAGGCCCCAGTGGGTCCTACTGGCACCCCAGAAGGGATGACTCACCTGTTTTACTTCTTCCCACCAGGCTGAAGGCTATGCTGAGGGTGATCTCACTCTCTATCACCGGGCCTCAGTCACTGACTTCCTCCGAGCTGCCAACCCTGTTGACTTCCTCTCCAAGGCTAGCGAAGTGAGTTCCAAGACTTGGGGTGGGAGGTGTAGGGAAGCCCCAGAAACATGGCTCAGAGCCATCTCTAATGCCCCTCTCTTCTTCAAACAGATCTCGCTGGATGAGGAGGAGTTGGCCCAGCATCCGGCCACCACTGAGGATGTCCGGGTATGCTGTCAGGACATCAAAGTGCTGGGACGTAAGGAGCTCAGGTACAGTCTGGGGATGCAGAGGCGAGAGAGGGCCTTTGAAGGCCGTGTTGGCCAGAGCCCTGGGTTTGGTTTATGCGACTCAGACCTGAGATGAAGGGGGCAGGGCCTGAAAGAGAAGACCCGGTTGGACAGTAAGAGGAAGAGCCCAGTCGATAATGACATTTCTGGAGCAGGTCCCTGCTGAACTGGAGAACAAAGCTTCGGCGATACATGGCTAAGAAGCTGAAAGAGCAAGCAAAGGCCCTGGACATCAGGTGAGAGGGGAAGCAGGCAGGTGGTGTTGAGATGCTAGGAAGGAAACATCTGGAAAAGAAGCCAAACCATTTGGGTTGTTCTACCAGCCTCAGCTCTGGAGAGGAAGACGAAGGTGAGGAGGAAGAGCCAATAGCTGAGACCAGAAGGCAGTCCTCAAAGGAAGAGGAGGAGGAGGAACAATTGAACCAAACCCTGGCAGAGATGAAGGCCCAGGAGGTGGCGGAGCTGAAGAGGTGAGCTGGGAGGACTTGGGGAACGCCCTGCAGGGTGATGCCTCTGCATGAAGAAGGCGGAGATGCAGGGCTGGGCTGAGTGAAAGTGCAGCCCCACACTCCCGGCCCCCCAGGAAGAAGAAGAAGCTGCTGCGTGAGCAGAGGAAGCAGCGGGAGCGCGTGGAGCTGAAAATGGACCTGCCTGGGGTTTCCATCGCCGACGAGGGCGAGACCGGCATGTTCTCCCTCCGCACCATCCGGGGGCACCAGGTGGGGCAGGGCTGGGGCCCAGGCAGAGTGATGGTGTCCGGGAAGGTGACTGTGGGTAGGAGACACTGGATAGGCTTTTCAGTCTGGCAGAATGATCTGCCTTTTGGTTGCAGCCCTCATCCATGTCAGGACTTCCGAGGACAAGGCAGAGGGTGGGGCTGAACAGGTGCCTTGCGTCTCCAAGGCTAAGGGACAAAAACCTAAGTGATGAAATTAGGACGACTTAGCACAGGCTGGTGCTGTAGAAGAAAGGCCGGGAGTCTGCTTCTGTAGATTAAAAACCCAGCCGAGCGGCTCTCCTCTCTGGCATCCGGTTGCCATGAGTTGGTGTCTGTCCGGTGGCTGTGGGTAGGAATAAGGCGCAGGGGTCTTCATGTGGAGCTGGGTGACTGGTTGAGGGTGTGGTAGATGCAGCCAGGATGCCTGGGTGGCCAGCATGTGTTCTCTGGGGAGCAGGGCTCTTGGGCTCAGTGAAACCCAATAAAAGCCTTACTCCCCAGCTTCTGGGTGGGGGCCATGCTTGGATGCTGTCAGCAACTCAAAATCAGTGGAAGCGATTTGAAGTCTGGAGGAGCCCTGGTGGCTCAGGGTTACTCATTGGGCTGTAATCCGCATGGATGGCAGTTTGAAACCACCAGCAGCTCCACAGGAGATTGGGCTTTCTACTACTGTCAAGTTAACAGTCTGGGGGACCCACAGGCGGGTGCTGTGTCAGCACTGGCTGGTGGCACAGTGGCCTACATGTTGTGCTGAGATCCGCCAGGTCCCCCGTTTGAAGCCACCAGCCGCTCCTCGGGGGAAAGGGACTCTGCACCCGCAGCTCGGACTCTCACAGGGCAGTTCTCCCCATCCCATAGCGTTGAGTCAGAGCAACTCAATGGCAGTGTGTTTGCTTTAGTTTGAGTAGTCCAAAAATGACTAAGATGTCTTCAGAGAGGTTTGTTTTTTGAAAAGGGGAAAGTCACCATGTTTTAGGGCACTTTAAGATCTGGTGTCAACATAGGCCATGGGGTACTGTATCTAGAAGACCCGAGTGGGCTGCTATTGAAGAAAATCAACCGGGGACTAGTGAGCTGGCCTGGAATAGGAGTCGCTTCCCTGGGTCTGAGTTTTCCTTGCTGGTCAGAGGTGGCACAGCTGCCACAGGAGACTTCCGTCGTGGTAACCAAGGTCAATGGAGAGAGCAGATCCTGGAGAAAGTCAGCAGGCTCCTTTTAACTGCCCTTGACCACTCGGTGTCTCTGTTATACTTCAGTTGTTAGCAGAAGTATCACAAGGTGATATGAGCGCTGCAGACACATTTCTGTCCGATCTGCCAAGGGATGACATCTACATCTCAGACACTGAGGATGACGACGTGTCTCTGGATAGTGACCTGGATCAAGAGGAGCTGGCAGGAGTGGGGAGACGCCAGGTTCTAAAGGACCAAAAGCAGTAAGTGTGTGTGGTAGTGGGCATGTGCCACCCTCAGAGTTGACAGAAGGTCTCACCACAGGGGCCAATGGGAGCGAGCCCCCCAGGACCCAGTCACTGACCTTCCGCCCACCACCCTTTGTGTGCACAGGGTGCAGTTTGCTCAGGTAGAGGAAGATAAAGAGGAGGAGGAGGAGGAAGAGAATCCGCTGCTGGTGCCTCTAGAGGAGAAAGCAACAATGCAGGAGGAACAAGCCCACCTGTGGTTCTCGAAGGTAACAAGCAGGGGAGGGACAAGCTTGTTAGGGACTTGGCATTCCTCAGAGAAGGGGAGCTGAGGGCACGAGTCCCCGCAATTGCAGGACGGCTTTGCTGGGCTCGAGGATGCTGCTGACGAGGCCCTGGAGATCAGTCAGGCCCAGCTGGTACGTGCACGGCGGCGTGGGGAACAGGAGCAGCCCCAGGCGCCTTGTTTGAAGACCAGGGGGAAAAAAGCCCGGAATGGAGATGAGGCCCCAAAAGGGACAGAGGCTCAGGCCCCTTCAGTGGCAGAGTGTGTCACTCCCCCCGAGGGGGACCAGGAGGACAGCGGCTCGGAGAGCGGCAGCAGCAGCAGCAGTGAGGAAGGAGAGAGGTGCGTGGTGGAGCGGATGACTGAAGGGATGACTGCTGAGGCAGCACTGTTCCATTACCCCAGGCTGGGCCTTTCTCACCCGTGGGCTACACACAGGCAGTGGCTTCAAAAAGCTCCAATGATGGCTCTGCCTCCCTTGGTCCAGGCGACCTGGGTGGCAGGATTTTTAAAAGTTCCCTTGGTGGTTTCCAGTGGGGATGAGGGTTGGGGTGAGGAGCGCATGTGGCCTGGGTGACACAGGCATGGTGGGCAACTGGTTCAGTCCACTGTCACCTTGGCCTTTCCATCAGGAAACCACGAGGCGGGAAGAAGCGGGGCCGGGGCCCAGGACCAGACGATGACGGGTTTGAAGTGGTGCCTATTGAGGACCCGGGTGAGAGTGCTGTCCCTGATGAAAAGGGGTGGGGGTATGAGTTTCCACTTTGGGGAGTTGGTATTTGACTTGGCTCTTTGCCTCTCTAGCCAAACACCGGATACTGGACCCAGAAGGCCTTGCTCTAGGCGCTGTCATTGCCTCTTCCAAAAAGGCCAAGAGAGACCTCATAGACGACTCCTTCAGTCGGTAAGGAGCGTGGAAAAGCCTGAGAAGCGGCCCAGGCCCAGGCAGTGAGGTGGTTCCCTGAGGAAGCCTGAGTGGTGGTGCGTGCTGCGGCTCTCTGCAGGTACACATTCAACGAGGATGAGGGGGAGCTTCCCGAGTGGTTTGTGCAGGAGGAGAGGCAGCACAGGATAAAGCAGTTGCCCATTGACAAGAAAGAAGTGGAGCATTACCGCCAACGCTGGCGGGAAATCAATGCCCGTCCCATCAAGAAAGTGGCAGAGGCAAAAGCCAGAAAGAAACGGCGGGTAAGGAGTGGCGGCTGTCTGAGATTGGCGCTGGGTGGGTTGGGGGGTCCACAGCCACCTGACCTGATCGAGGGCCCCTCACAGATGCTGAAGAAACTAGAGCAAACCAAGAAGAAGGCAGAAGCCGTGGTGAACACAGTGGACATCTCCGAGCGGGAGAAGGTGGCCCAATTGCGAAGGTGATTGGGGGAGGGCGGAAGAGGAGGGCATGGGGTCAGGAAGTGCAGCAGAAAGCCTCCAACTTATTTCTTCCATTTACAGTCTCTACAAGAAGGCTGGGCTAGGCAAGGAGAAACGCCAAGTCACCTATGTTGTAGCCAAGAAAGGGGTGGGCCGCAAGGTGCGCCGGCCAGCGGGAGTCAGGGGCCATTTCAAGGTGGTGGACTCGAGGATGAAGAAGGACCAGAGAGCTCAGCAGCGCACAGAACAGAAGAAAAAGCACAAACGGAAGTGAGTGGCGCCAGCCATCCTAGGAGACAAGGACTGGGAGGCTTCCAGGCTGCCCCTCCCTCCCTTTACTCAAATTCAGTGAGGTAGGGATGGGGAGCGCTGGCTGTGTGAAGGGTGAGGGCATCTTCCTGCTAGAGGGATCCTCAGCCCTAAGGGAGGTGGGGAGCCCTGCAGCCTCCCTTGGCAAGTTCCACTAGTGGGCGAATAAACCTCGCTGCTGCCACTGCGTGCTGCAGTGCTCCAAGTCACGTGTGGTGTGTGCAGTAGAAATGACAGACAGCCCACTGGTCTCAGTAGTAAAACATTTACTAGAGCAAGCAGAAAGGAATGCACATCTTAAAAGAAACCACAAAGTCACAAAATTGGAATTTTGTATATTTCTTTTCCTCATATAAACAAAAAAATCATTGAAATCATTTCAGCAAAAGGTTGTTCTACCGTGGCAAGTAAAAAAAACAAACAAAAGGAGATTCTTTATTGTCTTTAAAACGGTTGTTTGTAGCTGCTCAGACCAGAGCCTTGCTGGATGCCCACCTCCCTCCCTTCCATCAGGCTTCAGAGCCAAAGCCTCCCTCTGGACAGCTGCTGTCGCCCACAAGTCTCAGGGCTCATGGCCAGGGAACTAGAGCACCAGCCCCACTTAGAAGCAGACATCTCTCTTCCCTGCAAGGTCTGCATCTCACCTCATCCCTTCCCCACACTTTGGAAGCCAACTCTTAAAATAATTTTACCTGTAGGTGCTTACAAGGTGACATTTTAAGTAGAAAATAGAAGCTACATGTAATATAAACCTTGAATGAATTTCGTGCCTGTGAGGCCCTTTCCTTCCCAAAGTGTCCTGAATAGACTCTCGTGATAATGCACCAGAACCAGGAGCTTCCTGGCTTCTCCAGCCTCCAAGGGCCAACAGCTTCTCAAGGAGATGAAAGGGCAAAAAGGATTTAGACAAAGGGTTTGGCCTCCAAGCTCCGGCTCCAATTAGCAAGGAATCCCCTGCCCTGGGCTCTGCTCCGCTCTAGCCCTGAGACAGCTAGTTACCAAAACCTTTCTAAAAATAAAGTTAAAGAATGACTTCTGTGTTTCCACGCATACCCTCTAGCTGTCCCATCGGCTCTTCTTACGTTTAGGTGGCTCAGGGACAGCAAAACCATCAGCTGTCTTGTCTGTCTTGCTGTCTGTCTTGTCCATCTTGCCGCTGTCCACCTTGGGGTCCATCTTGTTCTCGCGGTTACAGCCTTCCTTCCTGCTCTCTCCATTCCGGCCATCACTGGCACCCCGGCTCTCACCATGCCGGCCTCCGCTCCCTCCGTGCCTGCTCTCTCCATGCCGATGGCCCTCCGAGTGACGGCTACCACTTTCTGGGTAGCGATACCCCTCACCATGGCGGCCACCATCTCCATGCCGTGGGCTGTCGCCGTGCCGATTACCACTCTCTCCATGACTGTGGCGGCTGCCCCCCCGGTTCTCAGTGTATCTCTCTCTCTTCCCGTTGCCACCCCCCATCCCTTCGCGGCTGTTAGTCCCCGAAGCTGTGTTGACGCCCTGGGCTCCAGGAGAAGGGTAAGTTACTGGGGCACTGCTGATGTTCCCAGCATTGCCAAAGCCTGGGAGGCTCTTGGCAGCATTGGCAAGGGGGCTGTCGGGGCTGCTGTGGCTCTGCTGGGATGAGTTGGTTGGAACAGAATTCAAACTCCCTGCACTAGTCCATCCACTTGCCCCCGCAGCAGAGCTTCCAGCCTTCTGATTGGTCAGACTAGCAGCAACAAAGTGGCTCTTGTACTGTGACTAAAAGAGAAACAAACAGGAGCAAGTCAGATAGGAAGCTCAAGAAACTGGAAGCTCAAGTGGGGCGGTGACAGTACACACCCTGCTCTCCTGGCACTTGTGACTGAACTCTCCCTGTTGGTCCTATGCTGTTAGGAGTGATCATGGGTCTTAGTGCAGAAATAAATCTCAATGTACTCAAATTGTACTGACAGCTTGACTGCTTAGAATAAAGCACTTATGTACACAGTCCCAACATGAACACTCTACAACCGTCATTTGCAATTCCAGGATCCAAGTCCTCAAGCTCTTTAAAACAAAAGTCGGACAGCAAAACCTGACAGACTTCTTTTTTCCCACAGAGCAGCTGGTGGGTTTGAACCCCCCACCTTACAGTTTGTAGCTGAGTACTTAGCCCTGTCCCATCGGGGCTCCTTTCCTTTCCACTCAGCCTACAGGGATGATTAGGACACTTTGCTTCAATCATGAGTCTGGCTACAGACTTTCTGGGGTGTAAACAAAACATCCAGGAGAAAGTGGAAACCAGTCTGGAAACAAAATATAAATTAAGACTCAACTAGCTAACTGGAGCGGGCTCAAGAGTTCACAGCTGGCCCAAAACCAGTATGTCTTAGCCAAAAAGAAGACAAGGCCTCAGCCAGGTGACAGTGGCCATCCTCTAGCCAGGGAGGGCAGTCAGAGCTGGCTACAGCCCCCCAGCCCAGGCTACACCTGCACCTCCTGCTAAGTTATTTCTGAGTGTATCTTTGAAATTCAAGCGAGCAAAGGCCTCAGATCTAGCAGAGTGCCCAGGAGGAGCCCAGCCATGGTGGAGGGCAGGCCAGCAGCAACCCATGGGTTCCTGTTGAGTCCTTTGCAGAAAGCTTTTCTCTCAGACCTGGAAAGCGGCTTTCATGGCTGTCAGTCGGTCTCCCATGGCTCCCGTGGAGGGTTTGTAGGCCTCGTAATTGCTCATTACATTGTTGTTACTTCCACGGTCCTGAAAAATAAGCAACCACATTCATGAGGCGAGAAGGGAACCTTACCACCACCGACTGGGCCCTAGTGTAATGGGAACTCTGATGCAAGAGCTTCTTAGAAGTCCTCCACAGAACGTGCCATTTCTTGGACGTTACTTATGCTTTAGGGACAAAGGTACAGTGATGAAGAATCATTTTAAAATACTTAAGCCCTTCAACTTGATTGCTGAAAATCAATCCTAATCAGAAATTTTAATCAAGTGGTATTTATCAAAATCACAACAAAATGAAACCCACACACATTATGGATGTCCCTTGAGGCGGTGAGCGAAGCCCTCTGTGTGGATGTTCAGGCTCCGATCCAGGCCAATGAGGGGCAAGGCTTTTGTACCTAGTCTTCAGCACTGCACGCACACACAAGAGTCAGTTCTAAGGTTTGCACATGTACAAGGGAGTTCTTGTTCTAGAGTGCTGTCTGGCCCAAGGGCATCCGGACTCACCGTGCTTTCTGAACCCAGGCCAGGCCGCTCCCGGTAACCTAGGCCTCCGCCACCAATGTTCAGCTTTTTGCCTTTTCCTCCTTTGAAGCGGGATTTCCGAAACCAGGCATTCTGCATTGAACATAATTTAAAGTTAGGCCAGAAGAAAAGTACAGGATCCAACAGGAAATTCAATGGGATGGCCCTTCTTGCTCCCATCTTTAGCCAGTGCATTTATGGCGCAGGAGCAACTGCAGGAGCTGCAAAGGGACCAGCAGTTCTTTTCTGGCTGCTAAGTGGTTAGACCCTTAGCCCAGGCCTCCCAGAAGAGAAAAGCTCAATTAAGCCTCAGTGTGGCGGACCATCCCTTTGCAATCTAATACTAGGTTCACAGGACATGTCATGTTGACGCCATGTACATTTTCTGAAGAAAAGTTACCGGAACAGTTTATATGTGCTGTCTAATATTTATGCTTTCATCTGTTTCATGAGACAAATACATATATCCAAATGCATGTTTTTCTAAGCCTTCTAATCTTGAAATTCTCTGTGGTTTACTATCTCTCTGGATACTCATCAATCTGGCATGAACAGTTTTCATATATATATATAAAAAACTGAGTATTAACCCTAATAAATCAGTTTCACTGATGAAAGATTACTTCAGTAATAAATGTAAATACAGTCAAGAAGTTATTAGAAAAGAAACATCAAATGTAAAGACAAACAATGCGGTCATACTGACAAATCCAAGTGAGCCTTTCAATACTTTGAACCTGGTGTCTCAGACGTTCTTAATTTTACATTCCTGTATCGTTACACAGGTTCACTTTAAATTTAGTAGTGTATAATTAAGAAAATGTGTGGTTTCATTCCTGTCACGTAGAAACAGGTATGTAAGACATGCCCGTAAACCTAGCGTTAAGACGTTCTCCCCGTCTCAATTTGTACCTATTACAGACACAAAATTTGGAGCCCGTGAAGAACTGGTGGGTTCAGAAGCTGAGCCAAAAACTGAGCTCAGGCTTGAGAATCAGCTCAAGGAACAGACACCTGGAAGGGACGGGCAACCCACAACTAGAAACTTGCTTGACCCTGTTTAACAAGAGGGGAGACATCCAGCCATAGGCCACCAAGGCCTGCGAATCATCAATACCAGCTCCGACCACATGCCTCAGGGCCGGTTCCAGATATCATATTAGGGATGAGTTTATTAAACATTTCATTAGTATGGTCCTCAAGTGGTGTTACAAATATCCAAATGACCCTAGGCAGACAAGTGGTTTCCCCCGACCCTTGCCAAGTTTTCCCTGGGCAGGCAAGCCTCACTGCCAGAGGATGATGACTCATCAGATTTAGACCCATTCATATAAGGATGGGAGCACCTGGCAGGCACCTCTGACCACCAAAAGGGAGCACTCAGAGGTGGGACTGGCTTGGGAAGCGTGCGGATCAGGGAAACTGATGCCATGTGAATGCAGGAAGGCTAAGCGGAAGGCAGGGTCAAGCTGCTTCTCTGTCTGCCACCGTGGGCTCTCTTCACTCCCAGTATCTGAAGCTTGGGTAGCACCACACTATAGTACAGTAAGGGCTACCCCAGTGACCCTGCAGGTTAAGCTAACTGGAAGGTCACAGGTTTAAGCCCACTAGCTGCTCTAGAACAATGAAGGCTGTCTGCTCCTGTAAAGATCACTACCCTCAGAAACTCCATCCAGGGTCATCAATAAGATGGAATCAACTCAATGGAAGGGGTTTTAATCTCTTTTCCTTTTTATTTTAAAGTTCTATGGATCGGCCTATGAACTTGACACAGTATTTTCTATTTCAATTAACCTCAAATATACTATTTAAAGCACAACTAGTGTAAACTGAAGCCACGTGTATGGAGACACCTGGCAACCTCAGGAGGTCGAGTGCTCACTGTTGTGGCGTGCACCGAGAAAAGCATGATCAGTATCAAAGGGCTGAGCTCTGCATGTCTCTCAGGCTGGAGAGTTAAGGGGCCCTGGTTATGCAGGGGGTTAGCACTTGGCTAACTGCACGGCCATTCACACCCAACCCATGGCTTCACAACAGTTAAGACCTAGTGACCCACTGCTATTAAGATTATTACCAACAACAACAAAAAAAGATTATTACCAAGGCAACTCTGCAGGATAGCTCTTTTCCGTCTCATGGGGTCACCAGGAATTGAAATGGATTTGATGGCACCTGCTGCCACCACACCATTTTTTTTTCAATGTTTGTTTGTTTGGGCGGAGGGGTGCGAAGAGGGAACAGCAGCTGTCTTTGGATTACATTTACTCCTAACTGTGCTGTAGGGAAGCAAACCCAACATTCCTCCTCCACCCCATTCATCTTGTTTTTGCCTCCGCCTTGCGAGAGGGCCCAGACCCTCACCTGCATCGCCAGATCTAGGAGTTCCTTGGAAACATGCTGGTTGGCTCCTTCCAAGTTCCGGACAAGGTCACCAGCAAAATTGCTGTCCTTCGGGGTCAGCAAGGTGTAGGCCACACCCTTCTCACCAGCTCGACCTGTGCGGCCAATCCTGTGAGTATGGGTATCGATGTCTCGTGCCACATCATAGTTGATGACAGTCTTAATAGAAGGAATATCCAAACCACGGGCTAAAACAAAAAGCAACCACATCCTCTCAGACTTCATCTGGAATCCTAAGATCCAAGTACCCAGAAAGGCTAGCCTCAGAGCCCATGTTTCCTTCACTGAGGCAACCCATGGCTTTGGTGAACTAAGACGTGACACGTCCCTTCTCTCGCTAACTTGCCAGGCCCCTGCTCCCCTCCTCTTGCCTTTTTGGGAGAAAATACCAGTTAGTACGTATTACTATGGAAACTTGGCAGAGCAAAGACAAAAATCATACTCCCAAAAAGCTGACATTAAGCCAAATGCCCACTAAACAAGACACACAGTGAGAAACAAAAGGGCAGTGACTACGATGTTAATACCTCCAACGGTTCTCCCTATCACCCTCCTGCAGTAGCAGGGTTCTCTGATGAACAGGCAGAGAAAGCAGTGGGGGAGGTGCCCAGGGCTCTACTTTGCAATCAATCACTGTGTTCTGAACCCCTCCCTTCTCCATGGGGTGTGACCCAGCAGAGCAGTTTCAATCAGCTTGTTCAGATAATATACTTTGCCAGTCTATGGTAAGAAAGAGCACGACTACAAAGACACATTTACCAGAAAAATCTACACTTTACCTGCAACATCTGTGGCCACCAGGACTGGGATATCTTTTTTCTTAAAGTCTGAAATGACTTTGTTTCTTTCACTCTGATCCATGTCCCCATGAAGCAGCCCAAGATTATGACCTTCCTGCTTCAAGTTATTGGCTAGCTCTTCAGCATTGGCTTTTTTGGTAACAAATAGGAGGACACTTCCTGATGAGGTGAACTCCACCAGACGCCGGGTAAGCCAGTTCCATTTACTAGGCCCTGAATGGAGGATCTCAACAAGCTGGGTCACGTCTTCGTTTGCCTGAGGAGGAAAGGCAACGGGAACCATAATGTTGGTGCCACAGGATTTTCAAACGAGGATCAAGCACTACAGTCCCTACCTGCATCCAGAAGAGCTCTCAAGAGTGCCTCCTCTCGAAGCTTGCGTCCCTCTCCCTGCACTCTGTGATGGGCGTGCACACACACTAACTTGATTTAGAAGGCCCAATACCTTGGCACGATTTTGCATCTACAGAAACGCCTCACTGAGGGTCTTTGAGGCAGTGTATTCTTATATGTTTAAAGCTCTTAGAAAAGTACTTATACAAATAGTAATTTGAATATAATTAACTCTTGGCTATCCATCACCCAACTTGAACAATTATGAACACTTTACAAATCTTATCTCACCTACTCAAGTATTTTAAAGCAAATCTATTCCTCTAGTTCCTAAAGGTTTCCTCCCTGCTCCCACTACCATGACTCGAATTCTATCTTGCAAGACTGGCTAGACCAGAGGAGGTACACTGGTACAGATAGGAACTGAAAATACAGGGAATCCAGGACGGATGAGCCCTATAGGACCAGTGGTATGAGTGGCAAAACAGGGTGGGTAAAGGGAGAATGGGTAGGAAAGAGGGAACCGATTACATGGAACTGTGTGTGACCTCCTCCCTGGGGGACAGACAATCAAAAAGTGGATGAAGGGAGACGTCGGACAGGGCAAGATATGACAAAATAACCATTTATAAACTATCAAGGGCTCATGCAGGAGGGAGGAGCGGGGAGGGAGGGGAAAAATGAGGACCTAATGTCGGGGGTTTAAATGGAGAGAAAATGTTTTGAGAAACGATGTACAAATGCGCTTTACACAATTGATGTGTGTATGGATTGGGATAACAGTTGTATGAGCCCCAAATAAAATGATTTAAAAAAATAAATAAATAAAGCAAATCTAAAACAAGGCCACCCCATCTGCAAATACATAGATAAAAAAAGCATTAATATTATTATTGTGAGACATTAATTCCCTGTCTCCATCGTTGAGTTCCCCAGCCCTGCTCAGTCACCTCTCCAATGTCTCCCTGCACCACCCGAATTGGGTCGATCAGAATGTCTCTGGCCAGTTTTTCAATCTTCTTCCGGAAAGTTGCACTAAATAAGAGAGCTAAAAGGTAAAGTGTACTTTGTTAAAAAACAAACAGTGGAACTTCTTGTCAAAACTCATTAAGCTTCCCACTGACATTCACAATCACTCAGATTAAAGAAAAACACCCACCTGAACTTTAAATTTAATTTAAAAATTCACCAGCGGAAAAGGCTTGCCATTCTCCTATTTCCCATGACAACATGGATGGTGAGTGTGGCTAAGGGAAGGGCTCTCGACTTCAAAGAAGCAGGTCTGTACTGTCTGGCCCAGTCTCCGAATAAAACTAAGTAAATCGGGGCAAGTCATTTAATCTGTGAGCCATGGTGTCCTCAGCTATAAAAATAAGTAAGTTACATCCAATGATCTCCAAGTACTTTCAGATAAAATAAACTACCATTATCTCCACCTTCCTGGTTCTCATCAGCACACACAGGCTCAGCATTTTTGCTCCCATGACTTGAATGCTTGTAAAATAAACTCTTGAGTATAAGGTCAGGTTAACAAAGCTGTTTCATACATACTCTGTCTGTCAGGACGAACATGACTTGCTATGGATCGCACCTGGTACTCTAGAAGAGGAAGAGGGAAAAATTAGTATTTTAACCTAGTACTATAGTTTGGCATGACTGGAAAAAGTTATTTTCGTAAAAATCTTCATGAAAGATCCTAAGAGCTGAGCAAAGTTGTAGACTCCTGGACATATTTTTCCATGTGATGCTGCGCAAAATTTCCCCTCCTCCCACCGAGGCAAATTTGGTGGTCTTTTCATCGAGAGAGAGAGAGAGAGAGAGAGAGAGAGAGAGAGAGAGAGCGCGAGCGCGCGCAAGCGAGCTTTGTGGAGTTTTCTCTTGATAGCCAAAGAAGTCAAGGAAGGCAAGAGACCAAAGTGCCCCAAATGGTCTGACATAGGCCTATCTAAGGACACTGAGTGTGACCATCACAATCAAATGGTAAAATGTAAAATATCCTAGTTCATCAAGGCTAACCCACTTTCCCTGACAGAATTCCTAAAAACTGGCAACCCTTTAGCACATCTAACACTTGGTATTGATGTAACACTTCTGTCACACAGGAAAAAAAACAGGTTAAGACTGGAAATGCACAGGAAAAACTAGTCTCAGGAGAGTGGCAACAGAAGAAACTGGTATACAAAGCCTACCAAAACCCATGTCAAACATTCGATCTGCTTCATCAAACACAAGGTAAGAGACTCTTTGAAGGTTGGTGGCTTTCTTCTTCACATGATCAATCAGTCGGCCCTATGAGATCCAGAAAGTGAGCAGTCAGAATCAAAGAGATTTATAAGAACTTTCTAAGTTGTGCCGCTGACAACAGCGCTCACGCTTGTCCAGCTTTCAAGCACTCCCCAGGGCAAGCCAACAGAAACAAACGTTTGATAGATTCTTCCTTTTCATTAATTGGGATTTAAAGTCGGGGTGGGGGTGGGGCACGTCTGTGAGACATTCAGAAAGGACTGGAGTTCTAACGCTCAGAGCACTATCGGGGCAGTTCTGACCATGCTCTGAACCTCTTTCTGTTCCAATTTTCTAGGAGAGTATAAAAATCTATTGAAATCCGTGGGAATTTGGAGCTACAAATGTACAAGTAGGTTTCCAAAAGTTCATCGAAAGATTCCATTCCAGTTGCTGCAGTCCTCTCACATTTGTCAGACTCTTACTGGACTGTTATTTTAGTCAAACAAGCAGAATTAAACCAAAAGCCAAGGGCTTGGACACACTTTAAAGGGAATTCCCTCTAACAACTAACCATTCTGTCCACATCAAGAAGTTACCCTTGGTCTCAAGAGATACTTACTGGAGTGCACACGACAATCTCTGCCCCTTCCTGAAGGGCCTTGGCCTGTTCCCACATGCTGCCTCCTCCATATACAGCCACTGATCGAAGGTTATAGGCTTTCCCAAACCGCTTACATTCTGCATGGATCTACAAAATTGTTAATGACATATTACCAAATCTTGTGACCTCTGACCCAAAAGGCAATTCTAAAATACACAGTGTAATGTCAAAAAACAAAAGCTAAGGCATGCTTAAAAAAAAAAAAAAAAATCACAATTGTATTCTTACGGAAGTAAATGAATAGCATGCAGAATAAAAGCTTCACATTTCCACAAGCTATCCATCCACCACCACCACCCCACCCCCGCTTCTCTTGTCGGTCGCTAATGCCTTCCAACAAAGGTAAATCAATCAACTCAGGAAGTAAACACTGGGACTTAACACTATAAACCATTCCCACATCACACTGATAATACTCTGTTACTCCTCAAACAGTAGTTCATAGGGAAACGAGTATTTGGTCTACCACATAAAGCCTTTCAGTTGGAGGTGGGGATGCTACACAAAGTACCTACCTGCTGGCAAAGCTCCCTTGTAGGACACACAATCACCGCAATAGGTCCATCCCCCGGTTCCAATTCCTTCTGGTCCATTATATGAATCAACATAGGCCAAATAAAGGCTGCAGTCTTCCCACTGCCCGTCTTGGCAATACCAATCATGTCTCTACCACTTAATGCCACAGGCACACCCTGGAGGACAAGCAAAGCACACCCACGCCAGAAGTTAATGTCCGAGATGTCCCAAGAGTCCTCCTGGAGAAGCTTCCATGACTAGTGGCATTCGTTTCCAACACACAAAACATGCTGGACTTCGGGTAAGAGCTGGGCAATGCAGAGAAATACCTGGCACTCCCAACCTAACATTATTCTCATGTGGCTCAGCCACCATTTAGAGAATTAGAATGACTGACTACCTTTACCTGAAATATAGGGATGAAAAATTGCAAACAATAAATTTTTAGTTTTCTTTCCTTGACGGGGTGCAGACTATCTCATTCATAACAGAAAATTCATTTTCTACCTAGGACTGAATTCTACATACGAAGAAACAAAAATGATTACTGTCATAGATACAGTAATGAACTAAAACATTCAATCTATAGACAAATTTTTTTCACTGCTAATCCTAAATTTGTCCACTTATGAAACTTTTTGTTAGATTTGGGCTCCAATGAACATACTTTTAAGGCACTTGTCAGATACAAGTGAAATTTCCCAGCTGCTTTCCAAGTTCTAAAAAGGTGGTAAATAATTCATTCTTTCAAAATTTTCAAAATACTCAATTAAATGTCATGTATGTTGCCGCTTTTTCTTAATTAAAACAAACTGACAACATCATTGGATACAAGAAGAGAATGTTCTAAAGTTGATTGTGGCAATGATCACAGCTCTCCTTGAAATACCGGACATGCTAATTATAGCTCAATAAAAACTTAAAACAAATAAATAAATGAGCTCTTTCTTTAAAAACTGAAGGCTAAGTCAGGGAGGAAGTATCTGGACACTGTTTATCATGGTAATACAGCTCTGCACTGTACACCATGTTGCTGTTTTGCTTTGTTTGCAAAACTCAAACTAGGGTCTTCAAAAAGGATGTGGAAAAATAGAATGACAAAATGATGGAATTTTTTCAACGAACTCTCTTTGAGGACTCCTTGTCGGTATAGTCACTGACAAGCATTCTGCTCCTGTTTCCCTTTCAGTGCACTCACCTGACACTGGATTGGAGTGGGCTGGGTGTACTCTGATTTCCGGATCTGGTGCATAAGTTGTTCATCGAACCCAAAATGTGCAAAACTACTTCCTGGTCTAGGAGGTGCAGCACCAGAGACCTACAGATAAAGACAACTTCCAGGAATGATTTGTCCTTCACCATTAATAGCTTTTGAAGTTCAACAATGTTTATTTGCATCCTTCTTGGGTTGAGTGTCTGACTGTTAAACAAAGGTTGGCAGCGAGCACTCTTCCATAGACACCTTTAAACAAAGGCCTGGCAATACGCTTCTAAAAGATCCCGATCATGAAAGGCCTGCCACGGCTCTACTCTGCAACACAGGAGCTGCCGTGAGTCAGAGTGAAACGTTCACATGATCTCAGTAAGATCTGTCCACATCCACTGGCTACAAAGAGGCCCGGTTTCCGTTTCCAGTCACTGTCAAAACACTATGAATTGGCCAGAAGAAGAATGATGTATCTCACTGTCACTGTAGTGATGCCAACAGCGCTAACCTCTATGCCAAGAATGTCCAATTAGGATTTCACAGAAAAGGTTTGTTGTTTTTGGCAAGAAAGCTCTCAGAAAACAGACAAGTATAAACATAAATACATCTTTCAGAAAACGTAAGTTCAAATGTTATATGGCAACTAATAAGACAGGCCAGAAGGTTGTCCCCTACAAGAACACTAGCTGTGTGAGTTTCAATGTGACCCCATTGTCCTGAAATCAGTACAACCTTATTTTTAGAACTTGCTCATTTCTTTCTTTGTTAATGTACTGTGTGTAATTTCAGAAGCAAGCATATCTTAAATTCTAAACTTTATTCTGAGTTCCTGCATGATTCACGACTAGTAGTTTTGATTCCTATTCACAATCCTTGTCTCTAGCCCATATAACAGTGCTCAGCACATGCGCAGATTCTGGAAATACCAAACTTAGGGTCAAAATGGGACTTCTTTTTCCAAAATATTAGCATACAGAGTTAACATACATATTTCATATTTATGACATAAAAAAAATCCTACCCTACCACATTATCTGGAAAGCAATAAAAACAAGACATATTACCCCAAGGGACAGAATTATTATTCTAGCAAAATAGTTCAGAGACTATTAGAAAAGAAATTCAAGGTTATTTTAGTGTGGCTGAGCAATAATATAAAACTAATTAGCCTTAACATGATTATTTGGTTTAATGGTTGTCTTACCCGAAGATTGAGCTTATGTCGAAGATCGATTAACTGCTGTGGGGTGAGGTTGGTTATCTCTTCATGCTCATTGTAAAAATTTTTTTCAAATGGTGGATAGTCAATCTGCAGGTCCAATTACTCAAAGTTAGTCTAGAATTCAAGAGTCAATTCTGTAATTTTGATTTTAATATAAAATAACCTTTTACAAATACCACATAAGTAAAGCCAGAATCAGCTTGGGGGAACCAAAGAATTCTCTTATTCATGATATTCATCCCAAAAAGCACAGCCAGAACCTTTTCTCATTCCCTTGTCAACATTAATACCAACTTACACCCTAAAGAGATCAGTAATAAGGCCACCACAGTATTGAACGACCCTGAAATACGTTAAGGAATCTCTGCTATGTCAAAAGTCCCAGAAAACACGTATTTTAACAAGTATCCCCCAAAGAGCATGTGCAAGTAAGCTGCTCACCTACTTCTAGGATTTTCAAGCAGCTCAATTCCTCCCTTGGGAAACAGCTCTGCCTTTAGCAGTTCTGTTCTCTCAAAACAACAGTTCTTATATAACCTTTAAAAATGTACTGCAAAGATTCCTAAAGCCAAAGAGGAAAGAATGTCTGTTCCTCTTCCCAAAGCTTACTATACTGTGGATACAAGATACACACATCACCACATGGATTTGGATGATTCTCTTCTGACATCATTAAAATTCTATAGTAAACTGATTCTTAGATCACAAAATCAACTCACTGGCAACTAACAATGCTATTAAAAACACATAATTCTGGAATACAATCTAAAATGCTTAAAAAGTATTTTTAAAAGCTTTTTGTACACTATTAACAAAAAGATAAAGAAAAAAGTTCAGTGTCCCCTCTGGCATTAATAGGCCAAATCTTCTTTGTGTGTCCTGCAACATTATACTACGCTCCAACAGACTCTCTCTAGTTCTCTTCTACCTGAATGAAAGCTCCACGAGGTGTTTCTGTTTTGTTTTACTCAGTTGTGCCTAAATCAAATCAATGGGAAAGGCTAATCTAGGTTACAAGGCTTGTGACAGGCACTTGGCAAGATGCCAAAAAAAGGCGTAAGGAAGCCGTGACTGGGAAGAGCCGGGTGAGGGAGCTCACTGTAGATGCTCCAGGCTCCTCTTACACATCTCAGCCTTCTTCAGAGTAGGGAAGAGGACTCCTGGGAAATGGAGCAGGTGAGGTCAGTGAGGGCACAGGGGTTGGGGTGTAGTGGACCTCAAGCCTGCTCGTCTCTTCACAGAGCTCTCAAGAGACTGGATGCAACTCAATATCCACAGCCTTGACCTAAAAGAAAATGAGCTCTGACAGAGTTCTGCAATGCTTCCTCCTTCCGTAGTTAGCCCTGCAGTCTCCCTGCAAGCAGTCAGGCAGGCAATGTGGACACGCCAGCTGGGTGGTCCAGCCTGAGCGACGTTTTATCCAGTGATTAGCGCCAGTACTTGTGTCTCGCCTTTTATCCTGGACATTTCCTTTTAGACCTGCTTCACATATTTTATTCCGTTTACCACAGGGTAATAACCAGGCATTATGTGTTATGTGGTAGCTTCGGCCCCAAAGGAAACATTTTAAAACTTGCACATAAACCAGTCTACAATGGCAGTTTTCAAACTTTCTGGTCTCAGGTTCACCTTCCACTCACAAAACAAAACCATAACAAACTTTTCTGTTTATGTGGGTTAGATCTGTCACTAGTTGCATTAAAATTAAAACTGAAATTAAGAAATAGTAACAATTTAAAATAATAAAATCACAATGTTTTTAAAGTACTTTAATATAAAAAAAACTGACTTAAAAATATTTGGCCAGAAGAGTGGCACTGTGTTACATTTTGGCAAATCTCCTTTGTATAACGTTCAAATATTAATTGCATGCAAATTGTTGTAAGCTTTTTGTTGTTTTTGAAGTTGAGGAAGAAAATCTGGTCTCACAAAGATAAATCAGGGGGTACCCCCCCCAAAATGGAATTTTTTAAGATATGTGTTTAATTTTTCTTGTTTTCAAAACAACCTTATCACCTTCAAAGCACTCTCCATTACACTTAATACATTAATCAAATCTGTGATTCCATTCTTGGAAACATTCTTCAAACTCATCCGACTGGATGGCAGACAGCACCTACCTAGATATTTTTCTTCACCTCTTCTACCTCATCAAATTGCTGTCCTTTCATGTCCCTCTTCATTCCAGGGAACAAAAAGAAGCCATAAGGAGTGAGGTCAGTTGAGTAAGGTGTGTGGGGCAAGAAAGGCATGCTGGTTTTTGCCAAAAACTGGTGCACCAAGTTGGCTGCGTGAGCAGGTGCATTGTCATGGGGGCAAAACCAGTTCCCACCTACTACAAATCAGGCCTTTTTTTTACCGTACACTGTTACACTGTCTTTTCAGAACCTCTAAATAGAAAGCTTGATTAATAGTTTGACCTCGTGGAAATAACTCCAAATGCACTATCCCCCTCACATAAAAGAAAACACAAATGAGCATCGTGTTGATCTTGAGTTCACTTGATGAGCCTTTTCTGGGTGAAGTGACTATAGCATCTTCCACTGGCTTGACTGATGTTTGTTTTTGACGTCGTAAGAACAGCACCATGACTCATCACCAGTGATGACTCTGGGAAAAAGTCTGGGTTGCTTGGGAGCGGTTCTTTCAAAGCCCGGCATGTTCCCAGTGTACGCTCTTTTTGCTGGTCTGTCAGAACCCCAGGCACAAATTTCACAGTTACTCTTCTCATTCCCAAATCTTCCATTAAAATTCAGTAACAAGGGGAAAAAAATTTTAGTAACCGAGCTCCAAGATAGTGCACATAACTTCCCCATTTCTTCAATGGTCCATCGTCAAAAGTGCACAAATTTTGTCCACATTTTTTGTTCTTTCAGGAAGTTGACGGATGCGACATTTCACATTTTTTGAAATGAGAAAACCACTCATACACTTGAATTTTCCCATAACGCTGTCCTTGTAAACTGTGTTCAATATCACAACAGTTTCTGTGGCGTTTTTCCCCAGCAGGGATAGAGGTTCTGAAGCGCTTTGTGGCAGACTTGGGCCTGGTTTTGCCATCACGACAATGCACCTACTCAAGCAGCCATATCAGTGCACCAGTTTTGGACAAAAAACCCCAAACAAACCCAACATGCCTCTCTTGCCCTACGCACCTGCGTGATTCCAAGAATGAAGAGAGACACGAAAGAACAGAGACTCGATGACACAGAGATGGTGAAGGGAAAATGAGGGAGGTGATGCTGTCAGTGTCCAAATAGATGAGTTTGAAAAGTGTTTCCAAGAATGGAATCACAGATTTGACAACTGTATTAAACATAATGGAGAGTACTTTGAAGGTGACAAGGTTGTTTTGTTAAAAAATTTAAATAGTTTTTGGGGGTGGAACTCTTTTTTGTGTGGAATACCCACTCATACACTGAATGTATGTTCGAGGAATGGTTATTTTACCCGCCTGGAGATGGGTAGAGGAGCAGTGTCTCAGTTCTTAACACCATCAGAAATAGTTTTCCGATGGTCCTAGGTGACCCGTGTCATTTGACTCCCAAAGGGTTCACAACCCACAAGTTGAGAACCGCTGCTCTAAAGCCTCATGGGATTTGACTCAATCACTCTGCAGACATGACAAGATCCCAGAGAAATACTCTTCACAACATGAGTATGAATTATGAGCTCAAGGTTATCGAGAAAGCCTAAGTAACAGAGGTGAAGAAAAAGTGTATCAGCTTAAAACAAAACTCAAATCCAGCAAGAAACCATACCTCTGAATGCTCAATGGGAGGAAGAGGATCGATGACTTTTTTAGAAGGTGCAATCGGATTTCCATCACTATCATACTCCAGATTGTCTTCCTCCTCCTCCTGAACCACACCAGCAGTTGGGTTTTCTGCCATGTATCGAAAATAAGCTTCCTGCAGGAAAGCACAAGAGCATAATCACATCTGGGTATGACCAAACCACTTCTGTGCCTGTAATAAACACACGCGGCACACCAGATGACCGCACAATTTAAATACCTACCAAGGCAGGAAAAACTATAACTAGCAAATAACTTTCTCTTTATAACATAGTACTATTCAGAGGGACAATCCTCTGAATGAGGCGACTAGCATTACAAAGACATTTGACTTATTTAATAGAAATCTGCTTGGGGCGGGGTTTCTCCCTACCCTGACCAGGGCAGGAGACACATGCTGTGGCTTTAACCAATCCTGGCTTGAAAGGTGACACTGACTAGGAAGGTCACCAACCTGGAAAGGTTGCTTCTCACTTGGGTTACCTCTCACCATCTCATAATGAACAGAGGAGGGGATGCTACAGGACAGTGATTAAAGTTCCATCTTGAAATACAAGAAAAGCAAGTAGAACTCTTAGAAAGAGGCAGAGGGGGCTGTTGTACCTAGAAGCCTCAGTAGATCCCACACTACTCTACTTCTTGATTTATCATCATAAACACTAATTTTGGATATAAGGAAGGGGGGGGTAGTCCAGCTGACTGATAACTCCTAGTTGTGTCTAGCTGTCATAGTTGATCAGAAGTTCCATCCTCAACATGAAGGAAAGCTAAGTGAATCTACTACCAACTGGTCACACATGAAGAACAGGAGTAAGTCAAACGACACTCATTCCCTGCGGAATGTCAGGACATCATCACAGTGAAGGCAAGCTCTAGTTTGTCCCCAGTATAGACTGTGTGGGGTAAAAATAAAAGATAGAAATACTGCATAGGAACTCACTTGGTCATCTTCCTCTTCAATGTCATCTCGAATACCCCTGGAAAAACAAGCGGAGAAACAAACTTCCCTGCAAATGTTCCACAGACCCAGCTCCATACTTACAGATTAGTGTGGAATTCCATTCACCTCAGGAAGGAACTCTCAACACTAACAATAACAAAGCAGCAACACACACACTGTAAACTATCCGCCCATCACCTGGGGGCTTCAAAGAGTTCACGGGCAAATCCTTTGACCTTTTATTTCCATTTTCCATGAACTTCTTGGAGCCCCCGAGTATGGTGGTTTCCCTCGATAAGTTTCAGTTTACAATCCTTTTGGATGGAATAAGAGTATCTCTAGAAATATTTGATTACTAACAAGGGTATAAAGACCAAGAACTTATGAAGATAGGTACCACAGGATCCTTGCCAACCCCATGCAGTAAACACAATGCAGTTTACAAAACACAATCTTGCAATCCTTTGTGAATTCTAAGTTCATACATCTGGTATAAGGAGGGGAACGTCAGTGTAAATGCCCCCTAGAATTTCTAGCTTTCAGCCAAAACCAGTCACTATAGTGATGGGGAGAAAAACTACTTAAGTTCCTTTTTGAGTCTGGGCCTAAAACTGAGCCGTTCACATGGAAAAAAAAGGCCAAAACCACCTGTTGCCTCCCACAAGAGCATGAGGAAGTATGGTTGTGCAATTCTCACAACCATCTTTTTCTTTCCAGTCTGACTTGCTGCCTAATGCAGAATATTGGCTATTCCCAAGGCAACCAATGAGCAGCATGGCCAGCTTAGGGCACCTGGAAGAGGATGCAACACATCGTGGGAGGGCCTGAAGCACTGGCTGCCAACAGAGGGAGATAAAGCCCTACCATGCCTACCTGTGCCCGGTAGCGCAGTGTGTGTTCAGTAGGGGAATAAGGAAAATTTCCTTCCTCAGAAATTATTGCAAGTTCTCACTATGACTGCTATAGCATGCTGCCACTCTTTATTAAATGAAAAGAGGTTTTATTACTAATGATGGACATAGCCTTTTATGTATCACTATTCTTGTAATCCATCATACACAGGTATAGACCCTATTTTCTGTTAATATAGGACGATTCTAAGAACATGGAACCCAACTTAAGTTACAGTGCTCACTTAAACTCCACTGTCATTACTTTCTTATGTTTATAGAACAACTATTTACAGTCGTACGCCAAAATACTATTCTACCAAGCAGAAGATTTTCATGATTACATATGCAAAGACTTTTGGCCATCTCCACCTATATATTGTTCAAAACTGAGGGAAAAGTTCAAAAGTAAAGGCATTTGTGCGCTATAATGGTTCTTTCCTATAAACTTTGGGGGCATAAACTTTGCAACATTTTAGCCATTTGCATACAATCTTCGTGAAGAAAAAGAAAACGACTTACTTTACGTTTTTTCTTTCCTTGTCCTTGTCTTCAAGCCTCTTCATGTCCCTAGCTGCCTGATCCTAATGAAAAAAGGCCATATGCAATTATATCAACTAAAAACATATTTTAAAAATAAAATTTTAAAAAGATTGAAACAAGAACCATTATTAGCTGTAACTAGAATGTAAAAGTTCCCAAAATGTATAGTGATATTTTGACAATTATTTTTTCAATGAGAAATACTCAAGTATTTGAAAAGCTTAAATTCAATTAACAAATATTTAATTGTTGCAATTTGTTTGATCTACTCTCCTAAATTAATGTTATCATTAGAGCTGCAAATAACCTTAAGACTTTCCAACAGTCTGACCTTTCAAAAGCACTCTCCTAATTTTAAAAAGGCTGGCTCACTTAAATTATAAAGTAAATATATATAAAAATGTTCAGGCCAACCAGGAAGACACCTATCTGGAAATCTTTCTTCCTCTCTTCCGTAGAGGAGACACAGAAGCTGGCTGAGTAGGCAGAAAACTGGCAGAATTTTGTCTTGTGAGCAATGAAGTGACCCTTATGGAGTAAAGGGAAGAACAATGAGATACCTGCTGAGTCTAATGACTGCAGCTATAAACACTTCCATGGGAGCAATAGGGAGAACACTGAAACCAGTCAAGAGCTAGTCAGGGTTTAAGGCAGGGCAGCTAAATATTGCAAAGATAGACAGAACTTGGCAAATGCTTAGACAAAGGGCAGCCTCGTGTACTTTTAAAAAGGATATACCTTCTGAAATTACTAACCAAGAAAAATTAATTTGCGTCCCAACACCGCAACGTGGTGCCAATGTTATAAGCAGCAAGTGATTTGAATTATTTAAGAATTTATTTTATCAGTTAATATAAACCACCAGCCACTCCTCAGGAGACAGATGAAGCTTTCTAATCCTGAAAAGGGTTAGTCTCAGAAACCCACAGAGCAGTAGTATACACCCTATCTAGTAGAATCCCTGTGACCAGAGTTTTCTGCCTGCTTTCTACGGTGATCCTTAGGAACTACATGAAATAAGTCATCAACATATGTTATCTGCTAAAAAGAAAATAAGGAAGGGGCAAGTACAAAGAAGTAGCCAAGGTCGTAAAAGCTGAGGCGTTGTATGACTATGGAGCTATTAACAGAAATACGCAAAATAAGAAAGACCCAGTGGAGGAAGAAAGGTGCTAAGTTGGGCATCAGTGGAACACACTCATGAAGAAGAACCAATCAACTTCTGGCAGAGCAAAGAGTAAAGGCATGAATCTTCAATTTTTCACACAGAAGTTTTAGATATGGATAAGGTCATTAAAGAATGGGTACAGACTCCTGAGAGTGAAACAGTACTAAGGGCTTTCAAAAAACTCATGGGGAAAAAAAATAGAACTAAACACTGGAAGAAACACAAGGATCTACATATAAACCCCTCCCTGGGGGACGGACAACAGAAAAGTGGGTGAAGGGAGGCATTGGTCAGTGTAAGGCAAGAAAAAAAAAAAAAATTATAAATTATCAAGGGTTCATGAGGGAAGGAGGGAGGGAGGGAAAAAATGAGGAACTGATACCAAGGGTTCACATAGAAAGAAAAAGTTTTGAAAATGATGATGGCAACAAATGTACAAAGTGCTTGACACAATGGATGTACAGATTGTGATAAGAGCTTTATGAGCCCCCAATAAAATGATTTAATAAATAAATAAATGCATCTTGATTTAAAAAAAAGAACTGGAATAAAATCACAAAAATGACTTAAGACAGCCAGAAGGCTGTATCATGACTTATTCAGGTGGAACAATGATAAACTGGTAAATTTTAAAGAGCTATCTTATACAGATATGTACAGAAATACCGATCAGTGAAGTGGTAAGTCTGGGATTTGCTTCAAAATAATCCAAAACAGAACCAGGCATGAAGGGGGTCAGATAACACAAGAATGACCATGATCAAGTTCAAAGATGGGTCTCATGGGAGTCATTTTATTCTTCTTTCATATTTGAAATGTTCCAGAAGATTAAATAATAAACTTAAGAAGAAGGATTACAGTTCACATTTCAGGCTGCCAATCATCTCTGGAAATACTGCTAGGCAAGTGGAAGTAAATTTAAGAAACAATAGAATAGTAGAGGAACATTCTCAAATAAAATAGCTAGAAGACAAATTCAAAGGTAGGACTGAAATACTAAGTTAACTTGAATTTTAATTGTGGAATACTTTCAAGAAACTTCTAAAGAGCTGTCACTTGCCTCCACTTCAGCCATGAAAGCCTCCAAGGGGTCATCATCACTGTCGGAATCTGCAGGCTTGGAATGGAACTGCTGGCGGGTGGGTGAGTTTTCAGCGGGAATATAAGGCAACTCAACGTTGCTAGAGTCTTCTTCCTCGTCTTCAAAATAGCTGACAGTGACAATGCAGACAGGAAAAGTGAACATTTGGTTTGTGGTCAGTGAATCTTTCATCGAACAGAAATGTTTACTATGATCTAACCTTCACAGATCACACTGAGAGACCTCTGAGAAACTGGTCAGACTTCATGACTTCACACTGCTAACACTGCACTACCAGGAAGCAGCCACAAACGATTCTTGTCTATTTTGATAATGTTTTGTTTCCAAATCAGACTCCCAGTTCTGTTAGAAGGATGACTTTTCAGTAAAAATTATACTATTTCAGCATATATAAATAGTGAAGCATTTGTAGAAAAACCAAGGCTTTGTGTAAAATATTAAAAACCTGGTTTGCTCTTTGTTGCCCAGAGAAAATTTTACAGTACATCTAGGTAAATTATTTGCAATCACAGGAAGATGAAAATAACCTGAGTTCTCATCAGCAGATCACTATTAACAAACTGATACATAACACTCATGACACGGATGAACCTGGAGGACCTTTGCTGGGAAATAAGTCCATCTCAAGAGGGCAAACACTGCCTGAGACATTACAAAAAGGTTTACACATGGAAACATTCTTTGATGGTTACCGAGTACAGAAAATAATGGGAGGGAAAAATCACTAAACAGCAGACACATGCTAACTTTGGTGAAGGGAAAGATGGCACATATGGGAGAAGCCAGCACAACATAACACAGCAAAGGAAAACACTGAAAGCCATGCAAGAATAAAAGGCAAAAAAATGAAGTTACTATCACATATACAACCTTGCCACCGTAATAACAAATAATAAGGTCCAATGATGGAAGCTGAACAAAGGTGGGAGAGCACACAAGAGCATATCCATGTACATGTATAGGATTGGCAACGAACATTCCGGCACAGACATTTGTACATGTTGTAAACATATCTATGTATATAACAGTGTGCACACACATGGTACACAGTGACAAAAACCTCTTTGTCAAAACTAAATAATTCCCTCTTTGATAGGAGTCCTGGTGGTGTAGTGGCTATGAATTGGGCGGCAATCCCCACGGTCGGCAGTTCGCAACTAACAGCATCTCCACAAGAAAAAGACGGGGCTTTCTTCTCCCCTAAACAATTACAATCTCGGAAACCCACAGGGTCACTATGAGTCAGTAATGACTTGATGGCAGTGAGTTTTGTTTTTCAACTGAGATCCTGAGCTTCAAGGATGGGGACCATAGATAGTCTCAGGGGACATCTAGGTCCACTGGCAAAATATACTTCCATAAAAACAATGTTCTACATCCTACACTGGTGAATAGCAATGAGGGTCTTAAAAAAACACTTTGTTCTAATAATCCAGCACTCTAAGATGCTCACCTTCCAACACAATCGTTGAAGACAAACAGGTACATAAGCAACTGCTGTGAAGAAAGCTGATGGTGCTATCAAAAGGTATAGCGTCTGGGGTCTTAAACGCTTGAAGATAAACAAGCGACCATCTAGCTGAGAAACAACAAAGCCCACATGGAAGAAGCACACCAGCCTGTGTGATCATGATTTGTCGATGAGATCAGTTATCAGGCATCAAAAACCCAGAGCAAAAACTCATAATGTGAATGAGGGAGGGAGTGTGGAGTGGAGGCCCAAAGCAAATCTATAAGCAACTGGACATCCCCTTACAGAAGGGTCATGGGGAGAAACCGGGCCAGTCAGGGTGCACTGTAGCACTGATGAAACATACAGCTTTTCTCTGGTTCTTTAATGCTTCCTCCCCACAATTATCATGACCCTAATTCTACCTTACAAATCTGGCTAGACCAGAGCATGTACATGGGTACAGATAAGAGCTGGAAACACAGAGAATATAGGATAGATAAACTCATCAGGATCAATATTGAGAGTAGCCATACCAGGAGGGGAAGGGGAGGGTGGGGGAAGATAGGGGGAACTTTATCACAATGACCTATCTATAACGCCCTCCCAGGGTGATGAACAACAGACCAGAGGGTGGGGGGAGACATTGGTCAGTACTAGACATGAGAAAATAATTTGTAAATTATCAAGGGTTCATGAGGGAGCGGGAGGGAGGAGAAAAAAAATGAAGAGCTGATACTAAGGGCTCAAGCAGAAAGAAAATGCTTTGAAAATGATGATAGCAACATATGTACAAATGTGCTTGAGACAATGGATATATGTATGGATAGTGACAGAGCCCAATAAAGTGATTTATAGAGCCCAATAAAATGATTTTTAAAAAGCTTACAAGTGGTCACTTAAGTTACAATTACTGGTCTCTTTTTGTCCAGAGCAAAGAGAAGAAAACCAAAGACTCAAGGAAATAGTACAGAGGACCACATGGCCTCCACTAACTGGAGACCAAAAGAACTAGATCAGTGGTTCTCAACCTGTGGGTCACAACCCCTTTGGGGGGGTGTCAAATACCCTTTCACAAGGGTCCCCTGATTCCTAACAGTAGCAAAATGACAGTGATGAATTAGCAATGAAAATAATTTTATTGTTGGGAGGGTGTCACCACAACATGAGGAACTATATGAAAGGGTCATGGCACTAGGAAGGTTGAGAACCACTGAACTAGATGGTGCCTAGCAACCACCACTGAGTGGGATCACAAGTACCAATCAGAGTGGGAGAAAAAGGTAGAACAAAATTAAAAAAAAAAAAAAATTCAAATTCATCACAAGGATCAACCTAGAACCCCTCCCAAGGGGACAAATAATAGAAAAGTGTGTGAGGAGCAATGGAGGATGATGCAAGATATGGAAAAAACAATCTATAACTTATCAAGGGTTCATGAGGGAGGATGGGTGGGGGAGAGAGGGGGAAGAAATGGGGAGCGGATATTGGGCTCAAGGGGAAAAATGCTTTTAAAATGATGGCGGCATATGTGCAAATGTGCTTGACACAGTGGAGGAATGTATGGCTTTCGATAAGAGATGTAAGGGCTTCCAATGACAAAATAACAATTTATAAACTATCAAGGGCTCATGAGGGAGGGGGGAGCGGGGAGGGAGGGGAAAAATGAGGACCTAATGCTTAAGTGGAGAGGAAATGTTTTGAGAATGATGAGGGCAACGAATGTACAAACGTGCTTTACACAATTGATGTATGGATTGTGATAAGAGTTGTATGAGCCCCTAATAAAATGATTAAATTTTTAAAAAGTATTTAAAATAAATAAAATTCAAATTAATAAAAAAGACAAGGTTTACTAAGTCTGATAGGTGGAAATTCATGAGACTATGGCCCTTAGCCACCCTTCTAACTTAGAAATGAAGTCATTCCAGGGACAACCTGAGAGCTGCATATAAGACAGGCTGCTAAGGTGAACAATTAAGACTCTCGCATAGGAGTCCTCAAACTTTTTAGGGGCCAGTTCACTGTCCCTCAGACCCGTTGGAGGGCCAGACTATAGTTTTTTTTTAAAAAAAACGATGCACAAATTCCTATGCACACTGCACACATCTTATTTTGAAGTAAAAAAACCCAACAGGGCAAAAAACACCCAGTGGGCCGGATAAATGTCCTCGGCAGGCCACATGTGGCCCATGGGCCGTAGTTTGAGGACGCCTGCTCTATTAGAACACACTTCTCAGCTCAATTATACAAGATGAAAGAGGCAGGATTTGCCCCAAAAGCATGAAGAAGCTAAAAAGGGGCAGGAAAATTTGGACAAATGCAAACAGGTAACCCAAAATGGAAATGAGGAGTTGGCATTATGGGATACCAACCAAAGTCACAGACTAAGATGTGTATGAATTATTAAATTAAGATGAGTATGAATTGTTAAATTAAAAACCGATTTGCTCTATAAACTTTCACCTAAACTGCTTTTTAAAAAAATCTCGTTTCCTAAATTCTGAGCTGTTTTTTTTTTCTTTTTTCTTTTTTTAACATTTTATTAGGGGCTCATACAACTGTTATCGCAATCCATACACACATCAATTGTGTAAAGCGCATCTGTACATCGCTTCTCAAAACATTTTCTCTCCATTTAAACCCCCGACACAGAAAATATCTAGAATTAAAAATTTTAATTCTCAATACTGAAGTGTCATTCATGCCACTTAAGAATTCTGAAAAGGCAATTTCAAAGTCTGGAAATGGGTCATTTACTTTCTAACCAACAGCCTAGATAGAAAAGGATGTTTATAAAGCTTGTTACTGGCGGGGAGTGGGGAGGGAGGGGAAAAAATGAGGACCTGATGCCAGAGGCTTAAGTGGAGAGCAAATGATGAGGGTAATGAATGTACAAATGTGCTTTACACAATTGATGAATGTATGAATTTTGATTAAGAGTTGTATGAGCCACTAATAAAACGATTAAAAAAAAACTTGTTATAAACTAAAAGCAAGTGCTGCTTGGGCCTTACACTGAAAATTCAGTAAAACAGTAATGCTATGAATAAATAGTAGGTTAAATAGCAACTGAAGCGTAAAAATGCTGCTGGGACTTGTTTGGAGGTTCTAGCAGGGGAGCACTGACTCGTATACCCTTGACCGAAGGACGGTCCTCCTATCGGGAAAGGCTGTCCTCTTTAACCAAGTGCGCAGCTTCTGGAGGGACACACATGGAGCGGTGAGGGAGGAAGGAGACACCTGCCTAGCCAGCCAGATCAGCCGAATCAACCCTGGCCATCAATGGGGTGACACAGATGTTGCAGCCAAATCGCCCTCACATCCATAGGGTGCAGGGTAGCAAAGATGAAACATACAACTTTCCTCTAGTTCTTAAATGTTCTGCCCCCACCCCCACCCCCTCACTATCATGATCCCAACTCTACCTTACAAATCCAGCTACACCAGAAGATGTACATTGGTACTGATAGGAACCGGAAACACAGGGAATCCAGGACAGATGATCCCTTCAGGACCAGTGGTGAGAGTGGTGATACCAGAGGGTGGAGGGAAGGTGGGGTAGAAAAGGGGGAACCTATTACAAGGATCTACATAAAATCTCCTCCCTTGGGGATGGACAACAGAAAAGTGGGTGAAGGGAGGGAGATGTAGGATAGTGTAAGACATGACAAAATAATAATAGGGTTCGTGAGGGAGGGGGTAGCAGGGAGGGAGGGGAAAAATTAGGAGCTGATACCAAGGGCTTAAGTGGAGGGCAAACGTTTTGAGAAGGATGAGGACAACAAATGTACAAATGTGCTTGACACAATGGACGTATGTATGGATTGCGATGAGTTTGTATGAGCCCCCAATAAAATGATTAAAAAAATAAATAAATGTTTTCTGAGAGCTGTGGGCAAATCTGAAAAATTCCTACTTGTTATAATCTACTCCCAGAGAGTCCACGCTGACTCACTGGGACCCACTATGCTTCTGAGGCTGGAAATCTTTAAGGGAGCAGGTACTCTCAGCCTTCTACCTAAGAGCAGCTGGTGGCTTTGAACCATTCATCTTTGGTTAGCAGTCCAGTGTTTACTTGACATCATCAACAGGGCTCCTTACTGAACAGCGTCAGGGCTTAAGTACTGAGGCAAACTGGATTTTACTAGTTCTGGCAACTGTATGTTTATAAAAAAGTATTTGTTTGTTTTTTATCATTTTATTGGGGCTCATACAACTCTTATCACAATCCACACACACATCAGTTGTGTAAAGCACACTTACACATTCGTTGACCTCATCATTCTCAAAGCTCTCGCTTTCTGCTTGGGCTCCTAGAATCAGCTCATTTTAAAACAATGGTTATGGTGTTAATAGACTGATGATTTTCTTACTAGGAACAATACAGTTCAATGAGTTAATCTATTAAACAAATAATATTATTTTTGAAAAATAAGTGTGGCTGCTTTGCTGCAGTTTTGGTCAACAGAACGACTATTCCAAAGCGCAGCCTGTGCTGGATCACCAGGAAGCAACTTACGCATTTTCTTCATCAAAGTTGGCCCGCTTCGATCCGATTTTGTAGAAAGAAGGGAGCTGTGGCAGAGTAGACTTTCCAAACCCTGAAGTAGAGCCGGTGGCCCCAAAGGCGCTGTGGGACTGCTGAGGGAGCTTGGGCTCCTCCTTCTTCCCAGCACTAATGGCAAAACCGCCAAAGCCAAAGCCCCTCTTCGTGCCGGGACCACCTTTATTCCAGTTCATGGTGCCAATGACTGACCTGGAAGGATCAACAAGCATTAACATAAATTTAAATGTATGAGTAAACAGCCCACCAATTCTTATCTCTCTTTTGACCTCTATCTACAATCTGCTATGCTAAAATTTTATCTTGGAATCAAAACTGTAACTTGTAGTCAAGATGCACTATGCTCATTTAACCTCAACTAAATGATTATCTTTTCAAAAACATTGGGAAAAAATTGTATTCACTTGTGAGATTTCAATAGAAATGCAGCATTTGACTGCTAATTAGCATCTTATTAAATACCACAACAAACAGTTACTGGTAATCTAATATAATATGTATACTCGTGTATAAGCCGAGTTTCCCAGTACATTTTAATTCCGTTTTTGTGGTAAATTAGGTGTCCCGGCTGATATTCAGGTCGGCTTATACTCGAGTCTATACAGGACTAATGCAGTGGATCTCAGCTGCCCAATGCCACTGCCCTCTCACAGTTCATCTGTGGTGACCCCAAACCATAGAATTATTGTTGTTGCTACTTCATAGCTGTCATTTTGCTACTGTTATGAATCAGGAAACCCCTGTGAAAGGGTTGTTCAGCCCCCCAACAGGGTCGCGACCCAAAGGCTGAGAACCGCTGTACTGTTAGGCATTGTTAGGTAACTGAAGATGGCAAGATGTAAAAACCTAACTTCTTATTTTTCATTCTCATGGTATTTATACAGAAACAGGTACCACCCCACCAAGTTTTTTTTCTTTATATGCTGTAAGAGAAATAGAGGTGGCTATCAGACTGTCCCCATTCTGATATATCTGGAAGAATCAAAAAATCAAAACTTGAAAGAGCAGCTCTTTGTAGAAAGTATACATACATGTATCTCTGAAGAATATGTGAGCCCTTCAGATACACAAATGATGTACTGAGCAACTAACTGCACTAGAACACTATCCAAGAAAACAAACACAAAGAATGATTATGCATTTTTATACTGAGAGCCATGTTTTCACACACATTTGAAAGTTAGATAATGAAAAAAGACTAAAGAACTGATCATTTCAAATGGTGGTTTTGGCAAATACTTGAACAAATTGTGAACTGACAGAAGAACAAAAAAGACCCCAGACACTATATGGTGCCTGGCTATCAAAAGATAGAGCGTCTGGGGTCTTAAAGGCTTGAAGGTAAACAAGTGGCCATCCAGCTCAGAAGCAACAAAGCCCACATGGAAGCAGCACACCAGCCTGTGTGATCATGAGGTGTCGAAGGGATCAGGGATCAGGCATCAAAGAACAAAAAATCAAATCACTGTGAATGAGGGGGAGTGCAGATTGGGGACCCAAGACCCATCTGTAGACAACTGGACATCCCCTTACAGACTGGCCACGGGGAGGAGTCCAGCCAGTCAGGGTGCAGTGTAGCAATGATGAAACATACAACTTTCCTCTAGTTCCTAAATGTTTCCTCCCCCCCAACTATCATGATCCCAATTCTGCCTTACAAATCCAGCTAAACCAGGGGATATACACTGGTATAGGTAAGAACTGGAATCCAAGACAGATAAGCGTCTCAGGACCAATATTGAGAGTAGTGATACCAGGAGAGTAAGGGGAAGGTGGGGTAGAAAGGAGGAACTGATCACAAGGATCTACATATAACTCCCTCCCGGGGGGACAGACAACAGAAAAGTGGGTGAAGAGAGACGTCGGACAGTGTAAGACATGACAAAATAATAATTATTTATAAATTATCAAGGGTTCGTGAGGGAGGAGGGTAGGGAAGGAGAAAATGAGGAGCTGATACCAAGTACAAAGAAAATGTTTTGAGAATGATGACGGTAACAAATGTACAAATGTGCTTGACACAATGGATGGATGGATGGATTGGGATAGGTTGTACAAGCTCCCAATAAAATGATTTAACAACCACCACCAAAAAATTCTTTTTGGTCTGTCAGAACCCGAGGCACAAATTTCACTGTGACCCTTTTCATTCCCAATTCTTCTGTTAAAATTCACTGAACCGAGCTCCAAGAGAGTCCAGAAAAGTCCTCATCTCTTCAAGGGTCCATTGTCAGTCTACAAGCACAAGTGCTAAATTTTATTGACATTTTCATCCATGAGACAAGTTGATGGACATGCAGAACAAGGTTTGTCATCAATCAACATTTTACCTTTTTTGAAACGACTCGATTCTTAAACAAGTTTTTCCCATAGTGCTGTCCTTGTAACCTGTGTTCAATATCACAACAGTTTCTACGGCATTTTTCCAGAGCATGAAACAAATTTCACAGCTGCATGCTCTTCTCTTAAATCACCCATCACAAAAAAATAAGGTTCGAGTAAAACTGCTTTTATGAAAAAATTCACTGTGACCAGAGAGAACCTTCCCAGAGGATGCCACTGGGTGCACTAACTCAGAGCGAGTTGCTTGATGCTCACCTGATGGGGAAAAAAAGCGTCCTAGGAAAGCTCGGCCCAGCAGAGCTTTTTCCTTGTTTGTATTGGGGACTCCCTCGTAAAGGACCAACAAAAACGAGGAAAGTCTTCAGTGACAACCACTGACACTCTAGCTCATGATGGGACTCAAACTACCATGAAGATGGCAGAGGACGAGGCAAGGCTTTATTCTATTGGGGGTCGCTATGACTCGATGGCAACCAACAATAACACCACTGATAAATGTTCCCTGAAAGATCCAGTTAGCTTAAGGCGAGATGTCAGTACCTGATCTATAGAACCAGTTTACAAATACCTTACACATTAGTCTTGATGTCAAGGTACTTTATTTTAATGAATGTTACCTAATGTTTATACAGAAACTAGTCACAAAGCAAAGCAGCACAAAAATTTAAAATTTGTGTTTCTACTTGGAATTTTCTCCCTCAGATACATAATTTTGTTGTTTTTTTTGCAAATGTACACAGATAAAATTAAAAAGAAACCACACAGTACATTGTTTTAGTGAGCTAATTTCTTCACCCAGTGATAAGTATTTTGTGCACATCTTTCAGTGTCAGTAAATATATTTTGTTATGAAACATGTCATTATACCTTTATCTCCATGCATATCTTTTTTAAAATAGTTTTATTAGGGGCTCATACAACTCTTATCACAATCCATACATACATCAATTGTGTAAAGCACATTTGTACATTCATTCCCCTCATCATCCTCAAAATATTTGCTCTCCACTTAAGCCCCTGGCATCAGCTCCTCATTTCCCCCCTCCCTCCCTGCTCCCTCATGAACCCTTGATAACTTATAAATTATTTTTGTCACATCTTGCCCTGTCCAACGTCTCCCTTCACCCACTTTTCTGTTGTCCGTCCCCCAGGGAGGGGGTCACATATAGTTCCTTGTAATCGGTTCCCCCTTTCCAACCCACTCTCCCTCTACCCTCCCAGTATCGCCACTCACACCACTGGTCCTAAAGGGATCATCCGCCCTGGAGTCTCTGTTTCCAGTTCCTATCTGTACCAGTGTACATCCTCTGATGCATATCTTTAGTTATTGCCTTAGAATAAAAATTTTAAATGTGGTTGCTTAGTCAAAAGAAAATGGCATAATTACGTTTTTAAACATCTAATCACTGCTTGTTGTTAGGTACCTTCCAGTTGGTTTTAACCAGTAGTGATCTCTATGTGTGACAGAATGAAAAACTGCCCAATCCCAGACTATCTTCACAATTGTTGGTATATTTGAGCCTATTGTTATAGTCAATGACAATCCATCTCATCGATGGTCATTCTTTACTGCAAACCTTCTGATTTACCAAGCATGATGTCCTTCTCCAGACTAGTCCCTCCTGATGACATGTCCAAAGCATGTGAGATGAGATCTCATCATCTTCACTAAGGAGAATTCAGGCTTATCTCGCAAAAGACAGATTTGTTCCTTCTTCTGGCTAAACCCAAATGCATGGCTATCGAGTTAATGCTGATTCAGAACAACCCTTTAGAATAGACTAGAACTACTCCACAAAGAAGCCAACTACTTAATTTTTCACACAGCGGCTTAAACCATTTTGATTAGCAGCCAAATGCTTAAACCATGGCACTACCAGGGCTCCTGTGCTCCTGTCAGTCCAAGAATATCCTTCACCAAAATCCTAAGTCAAATGCATCAATTCTTCCTCAGTCTTCCTTATTCATTGTCTAGCTTTAATTTTTAGCCCTTTAAAGAGGTCTTTTTTTGGCTGAGTTGCATAATCTGAACTTTAATGAACTGGTCTAAACAAAGACTGACGCCAGCCAATTTCTTGATTAGTAGTGGAAAGCCCAAAGTTGAATGCCACTGGGAGAACCAATTATTTGCCACACTCCAAAATGATGGCTTGAGTAATTTTGACCATTTTGCTCTTATTTCTATAAATATCACCTCTCCTAGATAAGCAGCATTACAACCACGTAAACGCAATCTCTAATGACAACTATAATAACAAAGGGGCGGGGGGCATTGCTGTCGAGTCATTTCTGACTCGGAGACCATGTAAGACAGAAAGAAATCTTACAGAAAGAAACGGACTGCCATATCTTTCTCTTGTGGAGCAGCTGGTGGGTTGGACCACTAAACTTCTAGTTAACAGCCCGGAGTGTCACCAGGAGTCCTTGGAAACAATAGCATATTAAAGCACAGGTAACAACTGGCTCTGAATCAAGAATAAAGATTCAAAATAATGCAGTGTTAGGAAATGTACATATTTTCTTAAGGCTATATACGATTTATTTCACAAGAAATATTTTAAAGAGTTTTTTCCCAGAATACTTATCAATAAAACAAATGGAGATAAATCTCCAATAACAGTAAGTTTTGGCACATTTTTACAATTAAGTAACTTAAATACTGCTTGCCCTCTTAAAGTATGCTCTGGTTATCTTATTATGAAATGAAATATTTTTCTACATAGCAATTAAATATATTTTTAAATAATAAGTTATTAAAAATGTATGCCTGAAGAAGTGTGTACAACTGATTCTGGGTGTGCAAATGATCCACAGTCGCACAAGGTTTGTGTTGCAATCTTGATGACGCT